AGAGGAGGGAATGCGCCGGAGATGACGATCACCACGGAGATGGAGCAACGAAATCAGCCCGTGCGCCGGAGTGAGGTGGAGGATTATGAGAAATGGGCGATAGCGTGGGAGAGGCTTTCATCCAGCAGTGGATAGACCATGACTGAGAGGGAGCACATCGCAGGAGATTTGGTGATTGGCGTTGTATGACATCTAATAGCAACACATGGGTGCGTTTAATTACGCTTCGAGCCTGTGATGACACTGTCGCCCGCTGCGTTTGAAATGTTTCACAGTTTTGAAAGAGCCGTGTTGCACAATCGCTACGGGTTATAATTATTATGTCCTGTCAGACATCTCATGGCGATTTTGAGCTTACAGATTAAACAGATACACTGGGCGGGAATCATTAATCACTAAACCCAAACAGTTTCACGATTAATGATTCCAAATGTTTGGCATTTCAAATGTTTAAGATATTAAAAAAAAAACTCTAAGTACGTGAGCGGTGGTCTGTGTTAGGTCAGTGTCAATGCCACATACTTAGGTTATGCACAGCCGAAAGATTTACTTATGAATATTTACGTTACTTGTGATGAGCTCGCCGCTCGTTCTTGGTGAAAAGAATTGTCATCGGGAATGCGCTGTGAGGAGGAGAGGCGTAAAACCGAGATTAAGGAGCTATCTGTAAATTAATTTAGGTAAAAAATAGTTATACATTTACAGCCGTTAAGTTAATCCACTGCTGCGTGAAGGCCTGTCGGTCACAATGGTAGTTTGTTTGACCATATCTCTTCATGCTGATCTACGCTCGTTGAATATGAAGTGGAGGAGGGACTAGGACCTGGGTATGAGAGGGGGGCATCGTCATCATTGGGTAAAGTTGAAAGGAAAAAAAAACCCGTTGCTGGGCAGCGTCATTTGAATTCACCCTTCATGCCAGAGGCACGGTGTAGGAGTAGCTCGTGGCAAGTTGAAATTCCTTGTCATCACTTTACTCATTTGCAAACGCAATTTTGGCACGCGTTCACTTTCGAGTCCTCGTTATGAGCTCTGATGCCACGCCAGAGTTGCACCGTATAGCCTTTAACAGACTGTTGGGGCAGGCGCTTTTACCAAGCACCGATTAGGGCCGGCCGCCTTTGTCTCCCCAGAACTGATGTGTTTTTTTACACGTCGCCCTAGGTACTGTACATATTTGAGGCCGAGTCGACCCAGGGGAGGCCCAGGACCGGGTCAAGTATTCGTCACCGATTATTTATTGGTCGTGAGCAGGAATCGAACTCGGGGCCGCCGGGCTCGTAGCGCGGTGCAGTCAACGACTGCGCCACCGCTCCTCTCACCTCTCACCACCGCTCGTCTCACCTCGCACCACCCCTCACCTCGCACCACCGCTCCCCTCACCTCGCACCACCCCTCACCTCGCACCACCGCTCCTCTCACCTCTCACCACCGCTCGTCTCACCTCGCACCACCCCTCACCTCGCACCACCGCTCCCCTCACCTCGCACCACCGCTCGTCTCACCTCGCACCACCCCTCACCTCGCACCACCGCTCCCCTCACCTCGCACCACCGCTCCCCTCACCTCGCACCACCCCTCACCTCGCACCACCGCTCCCCTCACCTCGCACCACCGCTCCCCTCACCTCGCACCACTGCTCCCCTCACCTCTCACCACCGCTCCCCTCACCTCTCACCACCGCTCCCCTCACCTCTCACCACCGCTCCCCTCACCTCGCACCACTGCTCCCCTCACCTCTCACCACCGCTCCCCTCACCTCGCACCACCGCTCCGCTCACCACCGCTCCCCTCACCTCGCACCACTGCTCCCCTCACCTCTCACCACCGCTCCCCTCACCTCGCACCACCGCTCCTCTCACCACCGCTCCCCTCACCTCGCACCACTGCTCCCCTCACCTCTCACCACCGCTCCCCTCACCTCGCACCACCGCTCCGCTCACCACCGCTCCCCTCACCTCGCACCACCAGCAAACCCAGCACGTCCCAACTTCTCTTTGTCACCGAGCCTATGAATCTTAATCCGAGTCACCATTTTTCACATCTCGGACCGCGTGCGCTCTGCGCGCCGCTGGCGTGCCCAAACCAGCCCCTGGGGGGCGGGGGGCCTCCCTTTAAAGAGGCTGCCCGGCGCTTGCGGTACATTCAATCCCGTCGTTGCCGGAGGCTCGCTTGTCATCAAGGGTGTGTGTTGACTGTAATAGAGCTTACAAGGCATGTTGTTATTGTTCCGTGCCCCCTGTTTAATTGTGCCGCCACGGTGGGGGTGGGAGGGGACAGGGAGGGGGTGGTGGGGTCGACGGGGGTTGACATGGTGAGGCAAATAACATAACTCGGTTCCATTCTCGCCGCAAAAATGCATCCCTGTGGACATGGGAGTCACGCCTGCTCATGCAAATTCCTACACCCCTGTCCAAACATTAAACGAATTTAGTTTCCAGCAAATCCACGAAAGTAATGTTCTGAAACAACTGTCCTACCTCAAAGGGTCCTCCTCTACCGGAGCAGATAGTTTTCCCGTCTTTGCTCTACTAACTGTTGGTCACCTAATATACAAACCTATAGCCCATATTTTCAACCTGTCCATCAAAGAAGCATCAGTTCCTCTAGAATGGAAACATTCCTATGTCCATCCACTTCACAAAGGGGGCCCTAAAGATGATCCCAATAACTACCGACCTATCTCAATTTTGTCCCCATTGATGAAAATTTTTGAAAAATTATTGACCTACCAAATTAGCAGTTTCCTGTCCACCAACAATCTACTACATCTAAAACAATCTGGGTTCCGAAAAAAATACAGCACCACATCTGCTGCATTGGACTCTCTGAATCAAATTTACAGTAGCCTTGATAATAAGCAGTACTGTGTCTGTCTATTTCTTGACCTGTCCAAAGCTTTTGATAGGGTAGACCACAACACCCTGCTTAGTAAACTAAGTTGCCTCGGTTTTTCCGAAAACACAGTAAAATGGTTAAAAAATTACCTCTTTTCTCGCACCCAAACTGTATTCACAGATGGTTGGAGGTCAAACAGTGTTAAGATAACAAAAGGGGTTCAACAGGGTTCTATCCTTGGCCCCCTCTTGTTCTCTCTTTATGTCAATGACTTGGGCACTGACCTGGATCATTCCAGGGTAAATCTTCTTGCAGATGACACGATATTGATTACTGCTGGCCGCTGTCCGGATGACATGATTGCTAAGCTCCAGGGTGATTTCAACAAACTTCAACATCAGCTAGTTGCTCTTAAACTAGTCCTGAATACCTCCAAAACCAAGGTGCTATGCTTCTCACCGGGACTAAAGCAGGAAGTTATTTTTCCCCAATTACATTCCTTAAATAATTATTAAATAGAGCAAGTCAAGCTCTATAAGTATCTTGGGGTCATCCTGGATTCAAAACTGAATTTTGAAGATCACATTGATTATATTGGTAAAAAGACAAAAATAAAAATAGGTTTTCTGTATCGACACAAGCACTGCTTCCCCCCTATGTTCCGTTTGGAATTGATAAAAGCTACCATACTGCCTCTACTTGATTACTGTGATATCATGTATAAATTAGCCCCAAGTAATGTACTGAAGAAGCTTAATTCCATCTATCACTCGGCCTTAAGATTTTCATTGAACTGCCCATATAGGACTCACCACTGTGATCTCTACATTGGGTCAAACTTAACATCTCTTAATGTTCGACGGCTTGTGCACCAGATCTTATTTATTCATGATGTACTTACAAAAAAAATCCTGCTGGATCTCCTCTCTGTTTATAAGAACAAATTTGACCTTAGGTCTTTGCTCATTTACCAGCTTCACATTCCCTACTGCCGTACAAAAACCGGAGTTAGGGCCTTTGCTATTGATGCCCCCAGGGTCTGGAATGCTTTTGCCAATAAACTGCAACTTGAATCACTACCTATGAGATCTTCACTCAAAACTGAATAGCAGCTGCCACTGCTATTCAGTGGCCTAAAATAAAATAAAATGTTTCGCTCCGGATGACCGCTGCAAAGTATTAACTGTATTTTGATTTAGTGTGCTGATCTTAAAGGTGCATTGAAAAATGTGATACTCCGACTGATGCTCCTGTTATTGTGGAGTGACTCATGCAGCCAGCTATGGCTCTAGGGTTTGGTGTTACATGTTATTTATGTAGTTTATTGTAAAAAATTCGGTCACAGTCCCTATGATCACTGTTACATTGCATTTATGGCTTCATTTTGGTGATTTCGAAAAGTTTTTTGGTTTGGCCATGTTTTTGTTTATTGTAGTACGGAGTTAGACTGATGGCCTTAATCTTAGTTGTCTTGTGGTTGTTGTTGTTGTTGTTTGACTTGCATCCCACTGGGATTTTTGCACACAGCGTTGGTGTACGGTGCTATTTCAGGAATATTTAGATTTTTTTTCCTGGATTTTTTGTTTGCACAGTCACATAGTCACTTTAAGATGTTTTCTTGTTCATTTTTTTGTTTGTTGCGGTTGCACCCGATTCAAGAGCCGAATGGCTCAGAGGGCTATACCAAATAAAATTAACTATGGTGTGCGGGAACATTTACTTAATTTTAAAAGTTGCGCAATAGAGAAATTCATGCGCATGTATGGGTTATGTAACGCTTCCCACGATTGATTTGTCTTCAGTAGTATTTATTAGAATATGCAAAGATGACATGAGATATTGCATATTTCCCATGGGTTGCTGTCAGCGCACAAAGGGTTTGCGTGTTTGCTCCGGTTGACATCTCAAAGTTATGGGCACCTTGATTACCCAGGAGAATCCTCACATCATGGCTCTTTTCTCAAGAGGGTCCTGCATTGGGATGTTTGGCCAGTTCCTTGAATGACTGCTTTGGCTCAATGTGGAAAGCAACCGCAGATGCATGCAGAAAACCCATCGCACACGGGAGGGTGGGGGGGTTGGTACCGGGGCACCGTGGACAATGTGGGAGATGCGACGATGTGAGTGAACGGACGGTGTGACGTGGCGATGTGGTGGTGCAGGCGTGCGCACACGATCACCGTCCTCTTCGTCCTCATTTGCGTCCTCGTGCACGTCACCCTCGTCGAGGAGACGCCCACGGACTCGGCGTACAACCAGAAGAGGTGCGCGCACAGCAACCGCACCGCACCACCACGCTGCACCACTGCACCGCACCATCGCACTGCACCACCGCACCGCACCACCACGCTGCACCACCGCACCATCGCACCGCACCGCACCACCACGCTGCACCACCACACCACACCATCGCACTGCACCACCGCAATGCGCAACCACATAACTGCACTCAACTGCACAGAACTGTACTGCACAACCACACACACAACCACATATCAGCACACACATCCTTGCACAATCACACACTACACTCTGCAATGCACCACTAACAACCACACACAAGCACACATAAACCTATAGAGGCAGGCAACTTCAAACCAAACTACACACCGCACAACCGCACACTTCACTCTACTTTCACATAACATAGTTAACTACACACAGCCTCACACCACCACACACGCCATGGATAACACACACAGTACACAACTATCCATTGACAATATCATCCCATACCCAACCATACGCCGTGCCCAACTACATGCTGTGCCCAACCGGGTGCCATAAACAACAACACACCATAGATAAACACACACAGCCACGACATAGATGTCCACACAGCATACAGAGCCAATCGCACACCATGAACAGCAACACTCAGGACGTGACGTAAATTATTTCGGTGCCGTCGAGCAAAATTTAACCTCTGCCAATTTTCAAACGACTCCACATGTATGCGACCAATACACTCTGATTGATTGGTTGACGGAGTATGAACCGGCTGAGCTCACTGCATACCACGGCACGGCCGAGCCAAACCCCTTGCCCGGTTTTTAATGAGGGGGGTAAGTTGTCGGCAAGACCTCTAGGTAGCGGGTTTGAGCGCCCATGTAACGTTTACAATTAACGGCGAGCGTTTTATAACTCCGCGGGGTTATTTATTGACGCCGCACGGAGGCCTCCAAAATCGGCCCAAGGAAAATGAGTAGTGGGCAAGTGTCAGTGAGAGCGTGCGCGCACGTACAAGCCCTTACGCTGAGCTCTCAATCCCTTCCCCCATCGCGACGCCTTACACACGTCGGAGCCTGCAATAGTCTCTCAAATTATCCACGGGTGGGCATTTAGCAGGGGTTTCTGAAAGGAGCTTTCAGTGACTGCGTGGGATAATTGCAGGGAATTGGGCAAAATAATCTCGTGAATTGGGCAAATGTTCTCGTGCCAGCGTGAATGCTATGACTGCACGCACGAGCCCCATGCCTGTTGTGTGTTGATGCGTAAGGGGGAGCGGTGGCGGAGCGGTTAGCGCGCCTCGCTACAAACCCGCCGGCAGAAGTTCTAATCACGCTCTTGACCAATAAAAGTGGCACACATCGGAACCGGTCCTGAGTCTCCCCTAAGTCGACTCGGCCATAAACGAGTACATGGTTTGGTGTTTGTGCGTCGGCACTCGGGAGATGAAGGCAGCCGGGCAAGGTGTTGGACACCAACCCCCTCGTGCACCGTGCCGGCCTTCATAGGTTCACGCTGCTAGCGTTACTTGCCCCAACGGTCCATTAAGGCTGTGGGGAATCTTTGTGTCTTTTGATGCAAGTGTGCCTTTCGCGTAGTCAAGCGATGGCGAGCAGATTGCGACTGGGTGTCCAGTTAGAAGTTGGAGAATTTGATTCACTTGTGAAATTATGATATTATTTGACATTTTGCATACACAGCGTCCTAGCCGCATGAGCAGGTTGCAATTCTTGTCCCGCTGGGCCTGTCTGCGAGCGGAGTTGTGACACAGTTGAACTTGGCTTTCTGAGTTTGATTCCCGGCTATGGCTAACCACCAGTCGCGAATTATATCTGGACTGGTCCTGGTACCCCTCCCTCCCTCCCACTTCACCAAGCTGCACTCACCGGTGCGGTGAATTATGGTCAGGCGACTTTCCCGACCCGCACGGCGCTGCGGAAGCCATCAGCCAGCAGTGGATTGACAAAAGGGGCCACACACGTACACTGTGAGCTTTGAAATCGACATAAATCTGCGTGAATCGATGCGTCGTTGCACCCATAGGGATCTGTACAAACACGCAAAGAGAAATCCATAGAGTATGTGCGCATGCCACAAATCCGTGTTATTAACTTTAATTATTCATGATCAAAAGATGCCTATGCATGGTCATTTATGATGCATAATAACGATGGTGTGAGTGCGCACATGAATAACGTTGGTAGCATTAATAATGATTGTAAATGAATCCCACAGAGGCTTCATCGCCAGCCTCCTGGTGTTTCTCTGCTTCGGTGTGACGCAGGCGAAGGATGGTCCCTTCACGCGGCCACACCCGGGTGAGCCCTGAAACACACGCGCACGCACGCACGGACACACGCGCACACACTTACACAAGCACACACACATACAGTGAGGGAAAAAAGTATTTGATCCCCTGCTGATTTTGTACGTTTGCCCACTGACAATGAAATTATCAGTTTATAATTTTAATGGTAGGTTTATTTGAACAGTGAGAGACAGAATAACAAAAAAATCCAGAAAAACGCATGTCAAAAATGTTATAAATTGATTTGCATTTTAATGAGGGAAATAAGTGTTTGACCCCCTCTCAATCAGAAAGATTTCTGGCTCCCAGGTGTCTTTTATACAGGTAACGAGCTGAGATTAGGAGCACATTCTTAAAGGGAGCGCTCCTAATCTCAGCTTGTTACCTGTATAAAAGACACCTGTCCACAGAAGCAATCAATCAATCAGATTCCAAACTCTCCACCATGGCCAAGACCAAAGAGCTCTCCAAGGATGTCCGGGACAAGATTGTAGACCTACACAAGGCTGGAATGGGCTACAAGACCATTGCCAAGCAGCTTGGTGAGAAGGTGACAACAGTTTGTGTGATTATTCGCAAATGGAAGAAACACAAAATAACTGTCAATCTCCCTCGGCCTGGGGCTCCATGCAAGATCTCACCTCGTGGAGCTGCAATGATCATGAGAACGGTGAGGAATCAGCCCAGAACTACACGGGAGGATATTGTCAATGATCTCAAGGCAGCTGGGACCATAGTCACCAAGAAAACAATTGGTAACACACTACGTCGTGAAGGACTGAAATCCTGCAGCACCCGCAAGATCCCCCTGCTCAAGAAAGCACATATACATGCCCGTCTGAAGTTTGCCAATGAACATCTGAATGATTCAGAGGACAACTGGGTGAAAGTGTTGTGGTCAGATGAGACCAAAATGTAGCTCTTTGGCATCAACTCAACTCGCCGTGTTTGGAGGAGGAGGAATGCTGCCTATGACCCCAAGAACACCATCCCCACCGTCAAACATGCAGGTGGAAACATGCTTTGGGGGTGTTTTTCTGCTAAGGGGACAGGACAACTTCACCGCATCAAAGGGACGATGGACGGGGCCATGTACTGTCAAATCTTGGGTGAGAACCTCCTTCCCTCAGCCAGAGCATTGAAAATGGGTCGTGGATGGGTATGACCCAAAACATACGGCCAAGGCAACAAAGGAGTGGCTCAAGAAGAAGCACATTAAGGTCCTAGCCAGTCTCCAGACCTTAATCCCATAGAAAATCTGTGGAGGGAGCTGAAGGTTCGAGTTGCCAAACATTAGCCTCGAAACCTTAATGACTTGGAGAAGATCTGCAAAGAGAAGTGGGACCAAATCCCTCCTGAGATGTGTGCAAACCTGGTGGCCAACTACAAGAAACGTCTGACCTCTGTAGTTGCCAACAAGGGTTTTGCCACCAAGTACTAAATCATGTTTTGCAGAGGGGTCAAATACTTATTTCCCTCATTAAAATGCAAATCAATTTATAACATTTTTGACATGCGTTTTTGTGGATTTTTTTGTTATTCTGTCTCTCACTGTTCAAATAAACCTACCATTAAAATTATAGACTGATCATTTCTTTGTCAGTGGGCAAACGTACAAAATCAGCAGGAGGATCAAATACTTTTTTTCCTCACTCTATACGTAAGTATATTGGCAAAGTGTTGTGAATAGATCACGAATGTGATTCGGATGAATAGATGAGTTGGGGAGATTAAGCGTGACTTGGCATGAGCACAAGCCATATAAACCACAGTAATCCACACAGACTCGTTTGTATTTGTTTTCCTGCTTTGCATTTAAATAAAAGTCCACTTTCAGCTCTTGTTCAGCTGGTGCAGAATTAATCTGCGTGTGTGCTTGCGTGCGGCTTTAAGTTACATCGTGTCCGCCTGTGTGTTTGAATGTGAGTGGGGAGTGGCAGTGTAGCAGTTAGTGCGCTGCACTACGAATCCAGCAACCTGAGTTTGCTTCCCGCTCACGGCCAACACCAGTGACGATTATCTAAATCGATCCTGGGCCTCCGATAGGTCGACTCAGCCTCAAATGAGTACCTGGTGCGGTGTGTAAACATCACGAGTGGTGAGACAAAGGCGGCGGGGGGTTGTCCTGGCCACCCACCCCCCTCGTGTGCCGTTCCGGCCATCATAGGTGCTCGCCAACAGAACTTTCCCCAAAAGTCTGTTATGACCATATGGGGGATCTTTGTCCCGCACTGTGCGAAAGAAGTTCAACGTACATACATTGTGCATTGATGAACGCTGCTGGTAACGTGACGCCCACTCTGCTTCGACCCGTGCAGCGTACTGGCGCTTTTGGCTCTGCGCGAGCGTGCTCTACGAGCTGGGGCTCATCTTCATCCTCTTTCAGGTAATGCCAACACACGCAAAGCAAAAAGACCAAGATCCCCCAAGTATAGCCTCAGCAGAGTTTTGGGGGAAGTGCTGTTAGCGAGCACCTATGAGGGATGGAACAGCACACGAAGGGAATGGATGGCCAGCACCACACCCGGCCACCTTTTTCACCCTAGTCGCAATGTTTACACACCGCACCAGGTACTCATTTGAGGCTGAGTGGACTTAAGGGAGGCCCAAGACCGATTCAGATAATCGTCACTGATGTTGGCCCTGAGTGGGAATCGATCTTGGTTCGTCAGGTTCGTAGTGTGGCGCACTAGCCACTGCGCTGCCGCTATACAAAGACAACAACAACAACCGCCATTCGCCACGAAGTGGCGGTGTCGTCACCACGGCGCTTGTGCCAGGCTATGTGCACTTTAGGCCACGGGAAGTGTCGAACACCCACTGGCAGGAGGTCACGTGGACAGACCCAGGTACCATGGGTTGACTGACTGAGATGACAAAGACATACTCATGAGTACCCAAACACATTTGTACAGAGACACACAGTTAGATGCATACGCTTGGATACATGCATACAAAGACAAATATACGCTGGTACATACACACCAACTTAGAAATATACACACGGACACATAGGTGTACACAGAGACTCAGCCGTCATTCGCCACTATAAGTGGCCCTGACGTCACCACACCCACTCGTGCCCAGGCTAGATGCACTTTGAGGCTATCTTGTGAAGTGTGGAAGGCTCCGCTGACAGGGATCACGGGACAGACGCGAGTGTTACGGCTTGAATGACTGGCAACTGATTGGTAACTCTACAGTACTGGGTAATACCGGGCACTTTCCCATCCAAGCAGTAAGTCCCGACCCGACTTAGCTTCTGAGATCTGACAAAGTCCGGCGAACTTTCGGGGGGGGGTGATACATTTTCCCGTGGTTTTTGCTCGTATGAGCTGAGCAATGAAATGTGGTCAGATAACACCTCACGCTGCCACACGATGTGCAGGGGAGGCCCTCACCTAGCAGTGGATTAACCAATACACGCGCATCGCATTTGTTCCTGCCGATTAAAAATCAGTGTTAACGATGACGGATCTCATCCGGTTATTTTGCAATTGTTGCAACCCCTCCACGTAAGCATGCGAGCGTGCGTGTGAACGGATTTCTCCTATTCTCAACAGACGGCAGACGACGGCCGTCAATTCATGAAGTTCATTGATCCCAGCCTGGGCGTCCCGCTGCCCGAGAGGGACTACGGAGGGAACTGCCTCATATACGACCACGGCCGCCCCGGAAACCCCTTCCACAACGTCTGGGTACTTCCCCTCCCACCGCCCCCCCCCCCCTCAATGCTGCCCCCCCCCCCCATCCATCTTCTCAGCAATACCCCCCAATGCATTGATTCATGATTCCCCATAAATGCCTCCCCCCTCCGAATGCCCCCTCCCCAACAATGCATCAGCATTCACTGTCAATTCTCCCCCATCAAGGCTTTTAGGATTCTTAGAATTCAGTGGTCATAAAACTAATCTAAACTATTTTTTATTTTACCAGGTAAGGCCCGCTGAGCTGTTATAGCTCTCTTTCAGAAGCGACCTGGCCGCAAATGATACCTCGACGAAGTGGCTTATCGCGTGGAAATTTATAGCAGCCAAACACTCTTAAACGCACGTTTCTAAATGTGTAGGGAAAAACCGGAGAACCCGGGGAAAATCCACGTGACCATGGGAAGAACATGCATACTCCAAATATTCAACAGGTGTCAAGGTCGGGATCGAACCCACGACCTCCTGCATACCAGGCGAGGTAGTTTACATCTCCAGTTTCTCAATGGGTCTCCACGGGAATCCGTGCGCCTCTCTGTGCTGTGAATTTTTGTGTTGAGCCTGTGGGGTTTTAGTGCGTGTCCTTAGGTCTCCGTGCGAGACCTAAGGACACGAAGGTAATTAACATTCGTTGTCAATGCCCCCCATGGTTTCCGAGAGCCAGTTTTGGCAGCGGCACAGCCAGCCAAGGGGAGACCACCCAGTTATTAATGCCCCCCGTCATTTGCCCCCACGTTATATGCTTGCAACAAAAAAAAAAACCTCGACACCACCACCACATACTCCGGACCGTCTCCACCCCTCTCCATGTCCTCACAAGTCAACTGTAATTTAGTAAAAACCGCGTGCGTGTGTGTCTGTGTGTGTTTGCTGCTCTTTTTCAGGATAAATTTGACTGCTTCGTTCTGGCTCATTGTCTTGGCTGGTTTGCCAAGGTAAAACAGGTTTTTTGTTAAATATTATCTTGAAACACTATCCATGTTTATTTGTTTGCATTGTGGAGGGGAGGGCGGAGAGGAAATGGTTGTGTGTTAAAAGTGTTTATGTATTCGCTCTGTCCATCTCTCTGTAACACAAGGGTCACGATTACGCTGCTTATTATACAAACCCACTAACCCGAGTTCAATTCCTACCCACAGCCACCAATACAAGTGGCAATTATCTGAACCGGTCCTGAGCCTCCCCCAGGTAGACTTAGTCTCAAAATGGGTACCTGTTGCAGTGTGTAGACATCGCCACTGGAGAGACAAAAGGGGCTGGGCATGGTGTTGGCCTCTCAACCCGTCGTGTGCCCTGCCGGCCTTCATAGGTGCTGCTCGCTAACAGCAGTTGCCCCAACAGACTATTAAAGGCTACACGGGGGGTGGATCTTTGTTGCTAAAGTAGCCCCACTACTGCATGTTCACATTTGACCTGCTGAGATGCGAACCTACCCAGGATAACTCCGGTAAAATTGACCCAATATAATTGAAATTGTATCTTCTTTGGTTCTTTCGGTAAGGTCACGTAGAATGAGAATAAAATAATAAAATAACACAATTAAATTCTCACGACGTTTCGGCCACAACGCAAGCGGCCATCTTCAGGTGAAAGGTACAGACCTGTCAGGACGACAGAGCTTCAAATTCAAATTGAAAATTCAAATTCAAATTGAAGCTCTGTCGTCCCGACAGGTCTGTACCTTTCACCTGAAGACGGCCGCTTGCGTTGTGGCCGAAACGTCGTGAGAATTTAATTGTGTTATTTTATTATTTTATTCTCATTCTACATGACCTTACCGAAAGAACCAAAGAAGATGAATCCCTGCAGTCACTAAAGCTTTAAATTGAAAAATTGAAATTGTACTTTGGCGACAAAAAAGGCGCGCGATGAAGTCTCAGTTTGAAACTCGACAACGCCATTCCGTGTGACGTCGAGCGATAGCTGATGTCATGTGCCACGTGGCGTCATCCCGTTACGCGGCTTGAAACATTTCTCTATCGCCGCTCGGCTATCCCTATCGTCGGCAGTTCACTACCATCGTGTACAAACGCATATGCGGGAAAGAGTTCCGGAATTCCGTGCGTGGGTGTGACTTTCTTTCCTTCCCTGTGTGTGTGCGTTTTCTTTTTTTTCCGCGGTGCCGTGCAGACGCTGGTCATCCGGGACTGGTGGATGTGCACCATCATGAGCGTGATGTTCGAATTCCTGGAGTACTCCCTGGAGCACCAACTGCCCAACTTCAGCGAGTGTTGGTGGGACCACGTACGTCCCAAGATCTACCCGTCGCATACCTCGTTGTGCTGACCACACTTCGTACACACACACGCACACAAAGATGAAGATCCCCCCCCTAAACACACTGTTGGAGCAAGTGCTGTTAGCGAGCACCTATGAAAGGCGACATGGCACACGCACACGCGTGTGCGCGTGCTTGGGTAGGCAGGCTCTCTCACCCGCTTCGTTGAAAAAAACTTTGATGAATTTATACTGCGTGCCTATGACTGGGCCTTTGACAAAATCACACTAAATGTGCTCGTTCTCATTAGGTGTTCAGAGCTCAGCAGGATTTAGCCTGCGCAGTGCTAGAATGGATGACTCCCACGCACAATCATTTAAACTTGTAACGCACCGCACAGTATTCGGTCACTCGTGCGGACAGAGGAAGCAACTCGGAGGCACGAGGAACCAGACAAGCTAGAGGGCAGCCTCGTGGTGAGCCGGTGCCAACAATTGTCTCCGTGTGTCCCTCCAGTGGATCATGGACGTGCTGGTGTGCAATGGGCTGGGCATTTACTGCGGCATGAAGACCCTGGAGTGGCTGTCCATTAAGCCCTACCGCTGGCAGAACCTCTGGAGCATCCCTACCTACAGGTGGCATCCTCCACACACCCGGATTCTTCGGCGTGGCTACGCGGCTCATCCCAGAGCGCCCAGCATGCGTCCCCCCCCCCCCTCCTTGTCGATAAAAATTCTACCCCCCACCGTGGGTTTGGCACCACGAAGTCATCTCATGTGGGCCGCGTCAGATTTATTCCAGTTGTGTCGCTGGGGGCCTTGTCTAGAGACCCAAGTGGGCGCTCGCTCGCTAAACACTCACCAGACACTCGCCACTCACCAGACACTCGCCATTCACACTCACCAGACACTCACCATTCACACTCACCATTCACACTCACCAGACACTCACCATTCACACTCACCATTCACACTCACCATTCACACTCACCAGACACTCGGCACTCACCAGACACTCGCCATTCACACTCGCCATTCACACTCGCCATTTACACTCACCATTCACACTCACCATTCACACTCACCATTCACACTCACCAGACACTCGCTATTCACACTCACCATTCACACTCACCATTCACACTCACCAGACACTCACCATTCACACTCACCAGACACTCGCCATTCACACTCACCATTCACACTCACCATTCACACTCACCAGACACTCGCCATTCACACTCGCCATTCACACTCACCATTCACACTCACCATTCACACTCACCAGACACTCACCATTCACACTCACCAGACACTCGCCATTCACACTCACCAGACACTCGCCATTCACACTCGCCATTCACACTCGCCATTCACACTCGCCATTCACACTCACCATTCACACTCACCATTCACACTCACCAGACACTCGCCATTCACACTCGCCATTCACACTCACCATTCACACTCACCATTCACACTCGCCATTCACACTCGCCATTCACACTCGCCATTCACACTCACCATTCACACTCACCAGACACTCGGCACTCACCAGACACTCGCCATTCACACTCATCATTCACACTCACCATTCACACTCGCCATTCACACTCGCCATTCACACTCACCATTCACACTCACCAGACACTCGCCATTCGCCGAGTAGTGACACCTGCCACTCGCTTGACACCCACCGAGTGTTCTCCGAAAATTCGCCGGATGCTTGGCAACCACTCGTCAGACCCTCACCAGAAGCTCACCGGAAACTCAAGGCACTCACCATTCACTAGACACTCACCAGATACTCGCCATTCACACTCACCATTCACACTCACGTGACACTCACCACATGTTAACCAGACACTCGTTGCTCAGTGAGACACCCCGTGCTCGTGTTGAGTTGGGGACAGGTGCAGGACGGCAGAGGGGGGCGCGTTGAGACGGATGCGGCCTTTGATGTCTGGTCACGTGACATTTGGGTTTTATATGCATTCGAGACGGACGCAGCGTCAGTGCTGCCAACCCGATATTCCACTCAACTGATCATCGCTGGGCTTCGACACTCTGCTCTGATCACCCATGTGAACCGTAGGTCATGGCTGTCATACGGCTGCTTATCTAACCCGTGCAAAGGCGACGATAAGAGACGCGATGTGGACTTAACAAAAAAAAACATTGAAAACTTCTCAACCAGTGTGGGTTTTGTAATCCACGTGCTTCTCTTCATGTCTCTCGGTGTAATCTCAACTATGCATCTCCGTATTTGTCCAGTTACATGATTTCAACTGTTAAGAAAACCAAGTGGGTTTAGGAGGACACGCTGCTAGAAGGTGCTCGAGACTAACTACATAGTGGCAGCCAACGGAGGGAACACTTCCGAGGGACATCTTCCACAGAGATGGAGCGAGAGTTGAAAATTGGGTCATTGCAGGTGGTAGCTGGATTGGCGACCCGAGTTCGATTCCCACTCACGGCCAACACCAGTGTGATTATTTGACTCCGTCCTGGACCTCCCCTAGGTTGACTCAGCCTTAAATTAGTACCTGTTGTGGTGTGTAAACATCCCCACTGGGGGAGACAAAGGCGGCCAGGCGGGGTGCTGGCCACCCACCCCCTCGTGTGCTGTGCCTGCCTTCATAGGTGCTCCCTAACAACACTTGCCCCAACAGTCTGTTAAGGCTATACGGGGGATCTTTGTCTGTGTCATCACATCGCTGTCAGAGATGGCATTGGCTTTGGGGGAGTCCCTCATCCAGCAGTGGATTGCGCATGGCCGATGATGATGATGACTCAACGTGGGTGGCATCGCTTTCCGCCAGAGATTCATCAGCAGGGCGCGACCTGTTCAGCAAACGCTGCCGGGGTCGCCGAATGTTATTTGGCAACAGCCGTCCACAAAGTGGTCTCGAAGACGATGCCTCCTCGTGGTAGCCAGCAGCTGCAGGAATGCAGTTTTTCTTGTTACCATAAACAAAACCCTTGTGAGGTCAGCGAGGGGAGTACGGCAAGGACGGGCGGGAAAATATTCGCTCCATCCGAGCTGGCCCAGTCCGTGGCGCTCCGTACGCGAGCTGTCGATATGACCTCCCGGCGATGACCTCTCGGCGGCGTGCAGGGTGTCCTGTTCCCGAGCCGCGGTTAAACGCACGGCCGCGGGTGAATGGCTTCGTGTGGGACGACGGCGGTGCCAGCGCCGTGAGGGTGCGAGCGGGGGAACGCGCGGAACCGGGGCTTATCCCTTCTTGGCAAGATCGCTTAATTTAACTCATTCATTCACGTGCTTTATTTTTAGCCAGGAATAAGACGATTGAGTTTTGTCTCTCTCGTGAACGCGTTCATTCTTGTACTTGATTTAAAACGAGGTGCGAGTCATTTGAGAGTCACCGATAACTCATTGATTTTATTTATAGTCAGGTGAGGGCCCACTTGAGGGCATAATTTACTTTTTCAATGGAGACCTGGGTAAAAACAAAAACCTAAATGGTAATTATAAATTTTTGTAAATAAACAATATACCGCTATAAATTAACTTGCTAGAAAGCGCAAATGCAATAATTCAGCACCACCAACTAAAACGAATGACGCCTCTGCATTATACTTTCACGGTGCCATGCGCGGTAGCATTCACCAAGTTGTCAGACTCTTTCCCCCGTGTGGTTTTCGGGTTGTACCGTGTGTTGTGCCGCGGCACGATGTCCGACGTTTCGCTTCCACTTGCTAGGAGAAGGAGCTTCTTCTCGAAGAACCCGAAACCACTTTGGATAGCCGTACAGCGCGATCGCAGACGTCAACTCAGAATCGTTATCGTGGGACTTTTTTGTCAGTATCAAGGTATGAAAAATAATAATTTTGCACTTTCTGGCTCTTATACTTGCATTGTCTTTGTCCTTTTTCGATTTAAAGCTTTCGTGACTGCAGGGATTCATCTTTTTGGTTCTTTCGGTAAAGTCACGTAGAGGGAGCGCTGTCTTTACGACAGTTCTGTTTCTTCACCTGAGGACGGCTGCTTGTGCTGTGGCTGAAACGTCGTGAGAATTTAATTTTATTATGTTTTATTTTTATTATTTTTATTATTTCCCTCCTACGTGACTTTACCGCAAGAACCAAGAAGATGTCTTCGTACTGTTCGCCTTTGGCGTTCTCTGGTCTGACACTGGTGAGACTAAGCCCTGAAGAAGGCTGTCTCTGGTGTAGGCCAATCAGTTTCAAAGACAATGCAAGTATATTATCAGAGCATGTACGTGTGGTTAACGCAGTTACTTGATTCCTTGCAAAAGATATCTATTTGGTGTTTAAACATCCTAACACCGGTTTTATCACCAGAAAGGGTGAAAACCTATTCTTATATTTCAGTAGCGCGAGTTTCCCGATTTGGACTTTGTCATTTAGGTTGTTTAAAGGTGCGCTTGTTCATTGTCTACACTGAAGATTTACCGGTCTTATTGACATAGTTTGTTTTTATTACCAAGGACATACCCGAGAGGATGTCCAACACGGAAGTGGAGCGATGAGAGTCGTCTCACATGCAGCAGCTAGAGCAGTGTCGTTTACTTGCCCAGCAAAAGCCTCACGGAGTCTCAAGACTCTTTGATTTCAGGATGGTCCTGCTAAGTCTCACAGTCGGGGACGACGATTGCAATGTGTTTTCCCAATCGAATAATTAGTGGGTAATTTTTCCGCTTTTGCCAAATTCGTACGCCTGACGCCCCCCCCCCCTACCCCGTCCACATAGCCGGCTCTTTGTCGGTGAACATCCACGGGATCTTGAACGTCCGCCGTGAAGCAGACGGCGCGCGGTGTTTTATTTTGGTTCGTACACTCCGCGGCATTAACCAGAGGAAGGCCGTGGGGCTCGGACGGCGAACCTCTGCCACACGTGTGTGGCCATCGTTGTGCCACGCGTGTGTCCACCGCTCTGCCACGCGTGTGTCCACCGCTCTGCCACGCGTGTGTCCACCGCTCTGCCACGCGTGTGTCCACCGCTCTGCCACGCGTGTGGCCACCGCTCTGCCACGCGTGTGTCCACCGCTCTGCCACGCGTGTGGCCACCGCTCTGCCACGCGTGTGGCCATCGCGCTTCCGCCTGACCGCCGCGCCCCGGTGGACCGTGACGTCGCAGGGCCGTGACAAACGGCAGCGGCTGGGGGACATCGTGGCTGACGACGATGATGACGTTGACGACGGCTGTGAATCTCGCTGTACGTTACACACCTGGATGACGCGTGCTCGTGCTTGCGGTGCGTGCTGCGCAGGGGTAAAATCAAGCGCGTGGCGTTCCAGTTCACGCCGCACAGCTGGGTGCGGTTCGCGTGGAAGCCGGCGTCCAGCCTGCACCGCTGGCTCGCCGTCATCGTCATAATCTCCGTGGTAAAGCCATCCGCCAATTTCCCTTGTTCTCTCCGTCGTGTAGTTGTTCGCACGCTGGATTCGTAATCCAGAGGTGGTCGTTTCGATACGATTTAGCCGGGGCGGCGGTTGAAAGAATGGGCAAGTTTCTTAAATCTCCTCTGCCGTATAGCCTCCTCGGGGTCAGTGGTGTTAGCGAGCACATATGGAGGCCGATACGCCGCACGCGGTGAAAGTGTTACCAGCACTATTCCTGACAGGCTTTTTCTTCCCAGTGATGATGTTTACACACTGCGCCAGGTGCTCATTTACAGCCCTAGTGTCCTAGGAGAGGCCCGGAACCGGTTCAAATATCGTCACTCATGTTAGCTCTGGCCAGGGAATCTGATGTTAGTCGTGGCTGGGAACTCGGGTAGAGGGATTCTTAACGCAGTGCACCAACCGCTCAACATTAATCCCCAACCCGCACGGTTGGCTACGCACGGTGCGAAAGAAGTTCAGCATGCACACGTACAACGCGGAAGCCATAAGCACATCATGATTATAAATCCATGGCTGGATGACGGGGAGACCCAGGACCGATTCACATATTCGCCAATTGATGTTGGCCTCGAGCAGGAATCGAACTCAGGTTGCCCGTTTTGTAGACCGCACCACCGCTCCCCCGAGTGAAATAACGCGCGCGCACGCACGTCGTGTCCGTCGCGCCTGCGCGCCGCAGTTCCTGCTGGCCGAGCTCAACACGTTCTACCTCAAGTTCGTGCTGTGGATGGCTCCGGAGCACTTCCTCATCACGGTGCGCCTCGTCTTCTTCATCCACTGCGGCGCCGTCTCCATGCGTGAGGTCTACGACTTCCTGGACGACCCGTGAGTGGCCCTCCTCCTCGCGCGCGAGCGCGCGGCCGCCTCGGCCGCCTCGGCCGCCTCGGCCTTCACGCGCGAATCGCCCGGCGGCTCTGGGATGTTCCCACTTGCTGGAAGCTGTCCCCAAGGACGACGGTCCGGCGCGGTTTCGCGAGTGAGCCGTCGCGCGTCGAGTTGCTGATAATTTTGGTCGTGAGCATTTGCTCCATCGACCTGCTGAGCCGTAACAACAGCAACAACAAGAATAGTAACCAGCGGGTTAAACACTTTAGCGCGTCGCATTTTGTTTGGCCGTGTCGGGTTGTGGGTAAGGGTCTTAGTGACATAAATTTGGCCACGTGATTATGCGGCCTGACGCACAAAATTAATTAGCGAGCATTATTTTGTCTGCGAAAACCCAAGACGTGCTCAGCGTTGCCACCGTTTTGGTGCACGGCACCGATACGTATCATGCATGGGCCGAGGAAGAAGATCGCACAAAACCCCGAAGAGTCGAATGCTAAACTATGGGGTTTGTTTATTTACTACAGCCTTACATTTTAACTGCGATGCTACTTTGGACTTGTGTACAAAACACGAACCTGCACTAACGAGTGTGGTACAGTATTGTCACACAACTCTCGGGGCTTTTCCGCGACTGACTATGAGCCTTGGGAGACCTTCATTCCAGCAGAGGACCGCCAAGGCAGTGTTCACACTTGCAACGAGTAGACCGCCACCTGGTGGACATTTAGATTCATCTCATCGATGCTCTGCAATAATTTTTTGGTTTTTAAAATCTATTTATCGAGAAGGGTTGTGACCAGCTAGTTTCACATTCTGATGAGTTTCTTTTTTGCGTGGGTGCTTAATCCTTTCCCGTTCCGAGACGTCTGCAAGTTACGGGGTGGGTGTCTCGTTCACCGCTGAATCTCGGAACGCGCAAGCGGTTCAGCGTTAATTTTATTTAGAGAGGCGTAGCGCCCTGGTTTTTAAAGACATTGTACTCACTGCAGAGAGCTGTAGCGACACGACTGCACTGTACGGTAGCTGGCGCCAAACTGTACCGCACGCCCTCCCGCATGCCCTCGTGGGGAGCCTCGATACCAATAAAGTAACATTAAAAAAGTTTTTCTTCCAATTCCGTTCCAATGACGTGCACGTACGTCATCTGAGCGGAATCGTCATTCGCATGGGAAAGGGGTTAAATAGTTTAACCGACCGATTGCCCGACTAACACCTCAGTCGTCGGCAGGAAGCTGAGCCGTAAGCTGGGGCAGCAGGCGTGGATCACGGCGGCGGTGACGATGACGGAGTTCCTCATCGTCATCAAGTACGACCCCGGGACGGTGTCGCGCCCGTTCCCCTTCCACGTGGCGCAGTGCTGGCTGCTGGGCGCGACCGGCGTCCTCGCGTGGACCGTGTGGAGGTTCTTCATCCGGTGAGCTCGCACCGTTATTCCCCCCCCCACTCTTCCGAGCCCATCCTGCTACTACAACTCCCTGCCCCTGCCCTACCAGCTACGATTACCCCAACCCCTATTACTGCCTCTATCTCTACCGCTCCTGCTACCTCCCCCGCCCCCCAGCTACGACCAGCCCTACCCCAACCACGATCACTATCCCAACCCCTATTACTACCCCAATCCGTATTACTACCCCAATCCGTATTACTACCCCTATCACTACCCCTACTGCTACTCCCTGCCCCCCCAGCTATGACCAGGCACAGGGGCGGAGCCAGGATTTCAGGCCGGGGTGACATTCAACAAATTTTAATTTCAAGAATGATTAGAGAGTCAGGCTGTTGAACTAGACGCCATCGGTTGGCGACACGCTCTGACAATGCAGTTGCACGGAGTCCGCCAGACCGAGTGTCGCACACTTATACGCAGAATGTCACCCCTGTCACCCCCCCTGGCTCCGCCCCTGACCAGGCATACCCCAACCCCGATCACAACCCCTCCTTAACATCTCCCTCCTGTTCTCCCGACTTTCACCATAACTACACCACCACTTTTAATAACCCCCACTCTTTATCTCAACCACTTTGATCATATTTACCATTTTTAGAATTGTTATGAAGGGCCTTGGATTAAAGCGCTATACAAATCTTGATGAGATGAGGAGATTAGATGACATTGCAAGGGATATTGAATTGACGATAGAAATTTAGACGTAAAAATTTTTGCTGAAGGCTTTGTGTGTCTTTAAATGTGATCTCTTGCTTCCATCCATCTTTGTCAACTGTGATCTATCAACTGTTGGATGAAGGTCTCCCCAAGCCAACGCGGTCTCGGGTTGGAACGATCTGTCTAGTTCCTGCGCGAGAGCTGATTTCATCGCTCCATCTCCATGGTGGACGCAATCTCGAAAGTCTTCCTTACCTAGGCTTCCAATACCTCGCTTGTCGAACACTGACCATCGTCCCTTCTCGCGACGTAGCCTGCCCAAGCGCGCTTACTTTGACCAACAGTTAATATGATGTTCGTGTGGTGGTGCTGTATTGCTGACCGAGCGTGTTCGTGTGGTGGTGCTGTTCGTGCTTTTGTGTGTGCAGCGAGATCAGCTTAAAGTGGCGGGCGCGACGAGAGGGGCACGGTGACTCGACGCAACGGGACAGGAGTCGGTCGCACTCGGACACGGACACAAACTCGAAACACGCCCGTCCACGGCTTCGGAAGTTCGGGCTGACCGAGGGCCAATCCAACGGCCACATGTGAACAAGAGTGGCCGTTTGCGCGCGTGTGTGCTTTTAACGCGATCCGTTCGCTCTACTTGTTAGCAAGGAACGATTGAACGCGGCCACATCCGAAACGCGTTGCCTCTCTTTTAACGGCACCACAATTTGAAAAAAATGTGCTTTTTACCGAAGCGGGTAAAGGTAAAGATACATCCCCGCAATTTCTTGCACACGCCACTGCTTGGCGGAAGAGCCACGCTAGAGGGTGTTTTGGTCTACTCTTCCACACTGACCCGACATCTTGGAAGGAGGTGGGCGTGCGCGCGCATCCCGCCCAGCACACGCGACCTACCGCTACCCGCGTGGCCTGCGTCTCTTGCCTGTATGCGGTGTGGGGTCTTGCGTGCACGTGCGTCTCTCCCGCTGCGTGTCTGCGTGTACGAGCGTACGCACGTCCATCCGTCCGTGCGCGTATCGGTCCGCGTCATCTATCTCGAGGGTGATGTTTGGGTCTAACTACACCATGCTGACCAAGCGTCTTCTAGGAAGAGGCCGGTGTACCCACACTCTTGCCCACTGCACGTGGCCTGCCGCTAAGACTGTTTTGACCTGAGTGCCTTTGGGAAATGTTTGTGATGCATAAGGAGTGACATGCAGAAGGGAACAAAAATGAAATTTAACGCTGGAGGCAATTATTTTTGCGTACAATGTCGAGCAATGATCTGTAGGGAATCACTCGTTTGTGCGTTCCTGCTTAAACTGGTCACCTGCTTCGTATTTAATGCACCTCGTTTCGTATGTTTATGTGATTAGCAATAGCATTCGAAGACAATTGCACGTGAAATGGTGTTACACGCATACTAGGCGTGCAAAGATTCACGACGCTCCACCCCCTCTCGGCCTACCGATAAATTGCCGGTGGCTTGGGGGGGGGTGATTTCAACTGAGTTTGTACATATTTAAATGCAGTATATATATACACAACAGGGTTTCTCAAACTCATCTAATCACGGTCCACCGCTTGTCTGCCTTACCATGTTCACGAGTCTTGGTGGTTGGCGCAGCGGTAACACTTGTGCCTCACAGCAACAAATAACTGGGTTCGATTTCCCAGGTGCCTTTCTGTGTGGAGAAGTTTTTTTTTTATTTTGTCCCCCTCTTATACATGAGTTTCCTCTTTCCTCCCATAAACAAAAAAACTGACAATGTAACTGCTGAAAAGGTACCTGCAAATTACTCAATTGGGATCACACACAGCAACAACATCACCCCCCCCCCCCCCGCTGACAGACATGCTGCACGCTGCTCATTCTTGCTAGACAGTATCCCCATGCGACAGTCGAGTGATAATTTAAATCCAGATGGACATCTTGATTATGTGTGCGTGTGAATGTGGTGCAAGTTAACTGGCAAAGGCATGGGCAGAATCCTGCTTGCACGTCTGATTTCGCCAACAATGCTTCCGAAATAGCAATGAGTTTGTATACAATGTAGTTACATTTTTATTGTTGTTGCAGGAACGCATCGTTTAGACGGAGTGCTCTTGCCAATAACGTCTGACACCACGGTAAACATTTTTTTTTTTTACAATCCTGAATCTGCTGCTGACACGCAAAGTCGAAGCTGGTTCAGAGTTTCCGTGCTGAAACGCATGCTACTGGATAATAAGTGGACTGGGAAGGCCATGAGTTCAAAGGGCAATGCATTTAATTTATGCGGAGACACAGAAAGGAATTCTGCCTCTATATGTTTTTTTTTTACGAATTATCCAGTGTTATGGCACGTGTTTCACAATCATCGGTTGTGCGCAGCATGTGACCACTTAGTTTGTATTTGAACAGAGGCGATTGGTTGAACTTGGAAAGATCAACGTTATCAATGTACCACCAGGTAATAACTTAAGAGACCAAGATAAAGTCCGTCTTCTTTGCAAGAGGGACCTGGGGCATTCGTCTTCCCGTGGGAACGATTATATATAATCCCGATCGAGTCCTTTTGCGGATCGATTTTCGAAATTTGGACCTTGACGGTGGCACCGGACCGGCCCACTTTCGCGAATCACGCTGTCACGGGGATCTTTAACCTCCGCTGTGAAGTGGATGGCGCGTGGTCTCACCACGGTTATTGCCCACACCGGCGTTGATAACTAGGGCAGCCGCTGGATTTGAACCGCGAGCCTCTGCAAAAAGCGGTGCACGCGCTGGTGTGCGTGCGTGTGCATTGCGGTGCGTTGCTAGTGACTGGCGTTTGAGAACTCCTGCACTTTAGAATGTGTATTTGCTATGCAAAAAATTACGCTGCTCGCTATCGGCAGCATCTTGACACGAACGCTCTCAAGTGTGAACTTTGCCCACAGCAGTTTAAGGTTTTTCTCAAAGATAGCTTTTTCACGGTTGATTGCTGCTTGTTAAATTCAGTGTACCTCAACACAAAGTAATATGAATGCACACATACATTTGTTTCGCTGTGTTGACGTGTTGATGAATTGCCGTCGTTTCGTGCTGCTGCTGCTGCGTCGTTTCTCGCGTTTGTTCTGCAGAGCTGTCCAATGTATCTTAGCATTGAACGCGATTCCCGGCGTTTCACTCGTCACGCGAGGATCGTCTTCGGCAACTGAATTGCCAAAGCCCTAAAATACATCGTAGTGCCACCAAGGGGCATTTAGTGCTCGCGATCTGAATTTGTGGACCGTGTCCTTTTTAACATGCGTTGTCTACCACGAGACTTGTGGGTAAGGACATTAGTTTTGTGATTTTTTTAACGTAGTTTTTACTTTAAAATATGGGAGACCTGCTTACAATGTCCTCACTCGCTCGTGAATTTGAGAGGTATTTTGAAACAAAGCGTTGTGGTTTTCTAATACCGTGCAGTGCGAGTATTGATATTTGCAGCCGAGATTCTTGCCACGGGTTTAAAAAACAAAATCAGTGTAGCGCCTATGAATCCGTAGGTTTTCGGGGGTCGTCTTAAAAGGCCCTCCTGACGTGTTTGGGGTTGTACAGCAGGTTGTTCGGTACAATGTCCGACGGTTCGCTACACATGCGGAAAGTCTTCTCTTAGGAACCAGAAGAAATACGCAGCATGTCGAGTGAACAGTCGGACATCGCGACGGACAACGCACGGATACAACCCACAAACGAAGCGGAGAACCACCCCAGTGTAGATGTCACCAAGAGGCTCCCTTAAGGAAGATGCCTCTTGATTAACCTCAAACACCTTGTAGCGTGGGGACTTGTAAATCAATCATCTGGTGTGACCTTCACGAAGGACTGAGCAATAAAATAATGAATATTGTCATATTTGTAATTTACAGCTATTATATCAGTCCACTGCTGGATGAAAGGCACTCCCACACTGTCGGTTGTGGTTGTCGTTTGATAACTCTTCACCGCTCTGGTCAGCATGGATTGGTGATGACCTAACCCAATTTTCGTTACTTGAATTTACTCTCGTGTAGAATATACCCTCGAGTATATACCGTAGATGGGGCGTGCGACAGGGCTGGCTGACGGTAACACATCCAAGAACTTCCAGTCTATCTAACCTTCAGTGTCTCCGTTATGTTGTTTGTAAATTTGCTTCCTGTGTCGTTGTATTTCACCAATTTATGTTTGGGACAGATGCTAAGGAGGGCTATTGCCAGTGGAGGCATTCATTGCTTAATATTGCAGGTGCCCCCGGTTGCTTCTGGGAAGAGATTGGGGAATAGAGGAATTAATTTCAACCAGAGATGTCTGGTGCTGAGCTCCAGAAAATATATATATATTTTAAATTAAGCCCTGGGCAGATGGATTTATATAATATTGCGTGGTCAGAAGAGCTGCACATTCCGGTGGGTTTGAATTTTTGTACCGTAGGGTGAGAGTTGTCATGCACGTGCTCATTAAGAAAAGATGACTGGCTGAAGTTAATCGTGGAGGTAATAAGTGTATATTTGCTGTTACGGACAAAACTGATCCATTGGTGAAATTTACGAATGATGCTCTTGGCGGCTATGAATTAAACTTTGCAGAGTAACGAAAACTATTTTCCACTGATTTTTTTGTTATTGTTGACATTGTTCAGTGTACTGTTCGTGGTTTCATTGAAAGTTAGTGCAGCAACCAAGAGCAAAGCGAAGCTGCAGTGCATTGAGAATGGTGTTAAACACAACAATTGGGGCACGTAACATTTCAGCGATTTTTCCACCAGGTTGAAAACATTTAACGTGAACATTTGAGATGAATATCGACTGAAGCTTATTTAGGATCGTTACATTGTATGAAAAGGGTTTTCATCCAAAAAATAAGGGTAATATTTGTAATCGATTTTCGACCAAAAACGACATGGGTTAGTTTGTCGCTTTTTTCAGGTTACAATCGACATCAAAATTTTTCACCGTGCACCAAGGGGCCCTTGCCCCCACTGCACCCAGACTTTGGTCGAGCCTCGTGTCCGCAGCACCCTAATTGTTTCATTTCTAATCAATTTTCTTACATAAATCCAAGCATTATTCACAAAAATTGGATGACTAAATTACCAATTTTTCTTTGAGTAAAAAAACCCCCGTGGATTTTTCATTTAAAAAACGGATTTATTTTTAACATAAAAAAGGATTGTATTATTTTTTACATCAATAACTTGTCCATAAAATATGAAAAAAATATGTATCCTTCTCCATCTTCACGATCCATATTTCAAGGCGTGAAAATAATGGATGTTTTTTAATAACGTGAAGGATTATTGGACCAATTTTAAACAAAACTAATATGTGGGTTAGCATCCTAGCGGTTATTTTAGGTTACTTTTAATGCCATTAATGCAATTGTATAATTTCCGAAAGAAACTGAGAACATATACTCACGCACAGCCACACGCAGAGGAGTGAGCTCTTTATTTTTCAACTTGCATGGTGTGCATAAAACATCAACAAAAAACAACACAGCACAGTTTGTGTCGTTCAATAAGGTACAGCACAACTACGTTAATGACACTTATTACAAAACAAAAAACCCCAGAATAAAATAAAACCGTAAGGAACACGGAGAAAGAGTAGACAAGTTTGTTAAAGTCGACAGACTACAGCAGAGTGTGGAATGGTGACGGCGTAATGTGGGAAATTATAAGAACATATATTTTTTTGGCTGTTGCGCTTTGCATTTCTGAATTGCTAGCGACATCGGAACAAGTAAAGTGCTGATAAGTGTTGGATTGTTTTTTTATAGCGACCAAAACCAAGGGAAAAAAAAGTTAAACAATAACAAACTACAGTGATTTTGCTCGCACCTCGGATAACATGAAACAAATTCCGCCACGTTAGCCGGAGCGGGAGGAGAAATCAGCCCGTACGATTACAAAACTAGTATTTGCCGTATAAGCGTTTGCATACTACACTACCAAATATTTTTTTGTAAATGTATTTAAGTCTGCATTGAACGTCACAATAAAAATCGAAGTTCATTTTTATTGGCAATGTAACTGTGTAACGGATAACATTCCCACAAACCGGGCCACGTGCTCTTTGCACGCGATAACGCGTACCTCGTTTTCCTTGTGGCGTGAGCCGCGGTGAGCAAATTGCGCGGCAAATTCCCGTCCTCGTCAATGCCGTTCAAGCTCCAGACAAATCTCCCCGTGTCCACGGGGGCGGGGGGGGGGAGACTCGTACCGGAGTTAAAACTGAGCCAACGCGCCGCTCACTCGGTAAATTATTTTCCGATGGCTCGTCTTGCCCGCACGGTGGTCTGCAGAGAACAGCGTGGTAAGCTGGTTCCCAACATACCTCCGGGCGTGTTCTATTTTTGAAGGGCAAACAAAACCCTTCATCGTTCGCAAGAAAAGCCCCGAGGACGACCCTCCTGTATAAGGATCTTGAGACTCGAAATGTTTATTTTTCTTTTTAAACATTCTCCAGATTATAAAATCAAAATGTTCCACTATATTCTAAAGTAAAAGTTGGTAGGTGTTTATGTGTGTGCGATAGACCAGATTTGTAAAACTTTATTGACAACGGGCAGAGGAGTTGAGTGTGTCACACTTTCGGGAGCGTCAATGCCTCATTGATCCCACGAAACCTTGAATTTCCGAGTTCGAACCCAGCTTACGTAGTAAATGATGAGATGAAGAGTTATAAAGGAATTCAGGGGCAGTTGTGTCGGTCAGTAAATGCCACCTCTTTGCATAGTGACACTTCGTGGGAGTGAAAGGCATTATTTTACCACACCAGATGCCTGCCCGCTCGCCCAACCGCTCGCCCAACCGCTCGCCCACCCACCCACTCGGCCGCCCGCCCGCTAACAAACTTTGTAACGAGACCAAATTTCTCTGGGCCCTCACCTCGCCCGAGAGCAACTGAAGACACCTTCCCTCAACCCCGAACAGAGATGCGGTCCACCTCAATACCAACTGGTGGGAAAGTCAACACTGGGTTCTCACCTTACGCAGCGCTGACGTAGAAACGTGGAATTTCCACCGCTCACTCAGGACTCGCACGTCCACGACTTTTTTAACGGGGATCAGCGGGGTTCAAGCCACCGCGCTACGGCACCACGTCGGGAGCAAATACGGATATGTTACTTAAAGGGCTTCCATTGCCACGCACCGATCAACGCGACCGCCCGAAGCGAAACGTAGCGATCAATAATTATCCGTTACTGTAAATTAACAAAATTATTTCGAAGCGAAAAAAAACCTTAAAAGTTCAACAACAAAAAAATCGCACCGCATTGCTACGTAGCTGTTCCCTGGATAATATGCCTAACACGAAAACCCTCCGCCTCAAGTGACTCCCGTAAATGCGTAACGCAGAATAAGAATAAGAAAAACCAAACACGCTGACGGCGTCCAACCGGTTCAGTCCATCCAAAGGCGTGATGAACGGGAAACAAAACGTGAGTAATAAAATATCATTTTTTTCGTGACTGGAATCGTTTCAATCCGCGTGCGCGCGAGAGTAACACAACGGTGAGCCTCGCTCGGCGCTCGATTCGAATGCCCCGGGAGGACTTACCTCCCCCCTACCCAGCGCAGAGGCTGTTTTACCACGGCTACACTTTGCACCATGCGTTTAATTTGAACGCAATTTAGGCTTGATTGTTTTTGTATAAAAAAAATTAAGAGCAGCAAACGAGTTGGACGCTCGACAGTGAAAGCCATGAAAATGGCAAGCTCCAAAAACTCCACGATTGACGGAGCAAATGGATTCTCGCCAACATTTTTTTTGCAGTTACAAGTTTAAAAACGAAGGAGAAAAAACACACAGAAGGAAGGGGGGAAAAAATCAAGTTTCGTTAATATTCAACTTTAGCAGCGAAAAAATGGATTTGCACCACCCAATGAAGAGCGGAGGAGCCGTTACAGATGCACATGCCACCAACAGAGACCCCCAACCGCTAACACGACGCCGATAACTTTCACTCCGTGTCACGAAGCCATAACTCCACAGCATCACGGCCCATCCAAATGAGCGGCGTGAATTACTGTAAAGCATTTTTTTGAGCAAATTGGGAATTTAGTTTGTTGTACGTCCAGATCTTTTTTTACATATATGTGTGTATATAACATTGCAATCCGGAGGATTTGAGCTGATAGGCGTAGGATTTATTTTTAATCCACAAAGTGCCACTTTGTTGGTGCCTCCGGTCACAGACGTGGCCCAGAACTGAGATGGGAAAAGGGAGCAGTGGAGGGTTTTCTGAAAGTATCTCAACTCTGCGATAATGAACTGTCAAGCTCGATTGTAAATATGATTAGGAAAGATCTGAACAACAACAACAAAACTTGCAAGGAACTCTTATTTTTATACTTTTCTATTTGGCTCCCCGATGCATTTTATCTTGGGTAGTATCACGCGATAAGAGAACAGAGCTTCCCCTCTTAAATCACACCCAACATTCAGTTGCTGAAGAAGCTCCCAGCACGTGGGGCGAAAACGTCGGACATTGTGCCGAATGACGCGCGGTGCCATCCGGAAAGACGTCAGAGAGGCCACACGGCACGACAGCGGAAAACTTACGCGGTCGTATATACTTATTTATTATTTGTTTAGAAGAAAAAAAAATCCCGTTGCACTTACAGTACGGAAGATGATTTGAGAAAACGAAGTCCACACTCGAGATCATCATTCCGTAGGCGTGCCGTCCTCTCCACTTTGCGAGTCCTTATGCACGGCCAGGTAATGCATATTTTTCACGCACAGTTCTAAAATGAACGCTAAGTTACATGAATATCCCAGATATAATGTCACCCAGGGGTAATTAGCATTTGTAAAAAGGTAGGTTAGGTGGTGGTAAAAGTGCGGCCCTGCAATTGCTTGCTAACACCATTGCTGGTGGGTCTCCACTCGAGAGAGATTTAGAGAGCCCCACTAAGAGGGCATTTAGCCTACTCATCCATCATGGTCAGACGTGTTGGAAGAGTTGGGGAGTTACCCACGCTTTACTCCACCCACGTGTGAGTTACCGATTGACTCACTGTGATGTACCCATTTAAAAATAAACTGCCAGGAGTTCGAACCAAACCGGGGACCTCTGGATTGCAAGTCCAGTGTGTTGGCCCTTAGAGCACAGCACCAGTGTTCTCCAAAATTCATTTAGTCATTCTGCACAATTGTCAAAAACCAATACAACCCTTAATGCGCTTTAAACGTTGAGGAAATGAAGGATTGAACTTGCGTGGTGTTTTTATTTTTGTTTAAACGAATGAGACATCTTTGGCAAACATTTTTTCAAAGACGCAAATTTTTTTTGTTCCTGGTGAAAACACGCCCGTTACGCTTCGCGTCATTTCCCATCGTCCTGTCGAGACGTGCCCGCAGACACGGCGCGTCGCTCCCGCTTCCTCCTCGTCGCGCTTTCACCTTCGACCCCTCGCACGCTCAGCTCGCACAACCCGACGTGGTCCTTAACGGCTCTCCCAAAATTAGCATTGGTAAAACAATAATAATAATAATGATGATGAATTAACACTTTAGCAACAACAACAAAATAAGTTGAAAAATAAGTGGTGATGATGACAATACACCCCTGCGCACCAAGTGACCGATTTCCCCATGCTAGACGTAGTGGTTCTTCTTTTGTCTGTAGAGCTGGCAGAACATCGACATGGAGAAGGCCATTCCCAGGATCTGGATTGGAAGACAAAAAACAGCGGTTACACCGGAATGCACAGCGCATCAAATGAGCTCTTCGTCAACAAGCAACACCCATTTCCCGTTCGCTGGGCGCCGCTGGCTACGCACGCGCCCCGTAATCCAGCAGCACTACGGAGGTACTAAGGGTTGGTGAATCACATCGATGTTGCGCAAAACTCCCTTCCCGTGGGCGTCGAAGAGGTGCCCTGCCTTGCCAGGAGTATTAAAGTCATCTGTCTACTTCTGTACGAGGGTTAAAGTGTTGCCCGAAAACAACTTAATATTTGGAGGACTGCAGAGCTCGGGCAATTGCTGGTTAGCGGTGGCTCACTGCCTGGCTGCCTTGCTGCTTATCTGCGGCTTCTCAGCGATTGTGAAAAGTAATTTGCATGAATGATGACGACGTTGCAGAAAAATAAACAAAACCTTATCTTTCACTAAACTTAGAGCCTCTGTGTCAATCCACTCGTGGATTAAGGCCTTCCCACGTCATGTCGATATTGGCGCTTGTTTGAGCGTACTTCTCCACCACTGATCAGTTCACCAACTGGTGGACCTCGAATTAGGCACTCCCATTTGCGAATTGATCAGTTGTCACAATTCGTCATCGCGGTTCCAGAATCGATGACATTCTCTAAAAAAATTTACCATCTCGTTTGTAATGTTTTAAAATGTGTTTATTACCTCGTGTGTATTTTTTCGCTCCACTAGCCTACAAGTAAAATGAGAATCAGAATATATATAATATACATCACATTATATATATAATATACGGGAGGAATCAATAGCATATTAGGGCAGAGCGGCAGCACTGTATGATAACAAAGACAAAGATCCCCCGTATAGACTTAATATTCTTGTGGGGCAAGTGCTGTTAGCGAGTAGCACCTATGAAGGCCAGAACGGTACACGAAGGGGGTGGGTGGCCAGCACCACGCCCGGCCGCCTTTGTCTCCCCAGTGGCGATGTTTATACATCGCGCCAGGTACTCAGTTGAGGCTGAGTCAACCTAGGGGAGGCCCAGGACCGGTTCAGATAATCGCCCCCCCCTCCACCCCCCCAGGGTAGGTGGCCGCTGATTACCTGTGTAGTGACATCGCTGGATGTCAACATGCTGGGTGTAGTGCCGGCCAGAGAGGGGCCCGGTGAGCGCTGAATGATCGCGCTGGATGGCACCACGCTTTGCGTGCAGTGCCGACCCTACAGGACCGGGTGTGTGGGTGCCGGCCGAAGGATGAGGTTGTGTGAGGCCATGGCACTCTGCTTGACCCGGGAGGACACGTGACCGGTTAAGTTGACAGAGGGGCCCCAAGAGGGGGCTAGGGGTGGTCACGTGATTGGGACCCAGATCCTTCCCGAGGATTCTGGAAGGTGGACGTGGCCAAGGGTGGAGCCGGCCATGCCACAGAGAATATCAGCCGGGTCCCGAGAGGGACCAGGGTTGTTGTTGTTCATCCTGAAGAAACCCTTCGTCTACGTTCTCCGTTCAACGAGTCTCCAACACGTGGACCCGGGCCGAAGCTGTTGGTCCCGGTCCATAGTAGCAGTTACGTAGTGACTAGTGTAGTTAGCCTGGTGGTCACCACCTGGCTAACTACACCAGTCACGTGGTAACTAGTGTAGTTAGCCTGGTGGTCACCACCTGGCTAACTACACCAGTCACGTGGTAACTAGTGTAGTTAGCCTGGTGGTCACCACCTGGCTAACTACACCAGTCACGTGGTAACTAGTGTAGCTAGCCTGGTGGTCACCACCTGGCTAACTACACCAGTCACGTGGTAACTAGTTTAGCTAGCCTGGTGGTCACCACCAGGCTAGCTACACCAGTCACGTGGTAACTAGTGTAGTTAGCCTGGTGGTCACCACCTGGCTAGCTACACTAGTCACGTGGTAACTAGTGTAGCTAGCCTGGTGGTCACCACCAGGCTAACTACACCAGTCACGTGGTAACTAGTGTAGTTAGCCTGGTGATCACCACCTGGCTAACTACACCAGTCACGTGGTAACTAGTGTAGTTAGCCTGGTGGTCACCACCAGGCTAGCTACACCAGTCACGTGGTAACTAGTGTAGTTAGCCTGGTGGTCACCACCTAGTGTGGCTAGCCTGGTGGCCACCACCATGGGTTGTTATTCTGTTAAGGGGAAAGTTACCCCGTGTGTTGAAACTAAATACATGTGTTGCCTCCAAGTCTACATCTGCGACTCAGTTGAACCCATTACACCTGTATGAGTGATTACCTGTATGAGTGAGATGCACAGGATGAAGACTCCCAACACCATCAAGTTCTCCTCAATCCACGCTTCCACCTTGTCGTAGCAGCCCTAGAGGGGACAGGCGGGACACGGGACGGCAATTTTGATCGTCACAACGCGGCGGTTCATTTGCGAAAGCAGATAAATTGTTGACAACAACTTTTGAACGCATCCATTATGAACGTACTCAAAACAATTATATTTACAGCCCGTTGTCAATAAATTGCCACACTGAATATTGGAGGGTCCTGGCTATGCTGGGATATGTGTTGGTCAATTCCATCGATGGATGGTCGGCTTTATGTGCAAGGGAACCAGAGTGCCCGGAGAAAACCCACACCCAGATACGAGGGGGTGACACTCAAAGCTGCCCAAGCATCACCTGGTATACAGGAGGTTGTGAATTTGATCGCAACCCTGACGCCTGTATATTTGGAGTTTGTGTGTCTCTCTCCCTGTGGTCGCGAGTCCTCCACATGTTGAATCAACATCACGTGTTTTAGAGTATTTGGCTGCAATACATTTACACGTGATCATAAGCCACTTCGTTCAGTTATCATTCGAGGCCAGGTCGCTTCTAAAAAAAGAGCTTAACAGCTCAGTGGACCTTACCTGGTAGATATAAAAAAATAGTTTTCGGGTTTTCTGTTGTTGTGAATCACATGGTTACCAGGCTGAATCGTCTGATTGGCTTCTGAGATGTGCAAACCCGTCAACCCACACGATTTATTACCCCGTATTCTTGTACAGGGACATTGAGTTTTCAGGCCCATACGGCATACAGCCGTTTCAATGAGGGAAAACACACATGTTTGTCTATTTGTTTGGGTTTCTGCCTTGTGATGGGACTTTGTAGGATGAATGCTGAGATTTATAACGGCACAGGGATGACCAATGAGGTCTGATTTGGTCTGTAAATAAGGTTGGCACTGTTCAGGGCTTGACCTATGGATGTAACAGGATCGGGGTATTGAGGTCATGTTAACGTGCACATAGCCTGGCACAAGCGCCGTGGTGACGTCACCGCCACTTGGTGGCGAGTGGCGGTTGTTGTTGTGGGGGCCATTGCAAATCTCAGCCGGGCCAGACGATGGCGCACTCTCCACGCGTTAATCGCGGGTTTGTAGAACACACGCGGCTCTGTGTTTTTACACGGAACGTCATCAATCATTCCCAGAAGCACCTGCGCGTAAGGTGAGCTGGAGCTGTTCAGGGCTGGGCTCCTGAAAATATCCTCACCCCCCCCCCCCTCCTACACAATAAAAAAATATACCAAGCCCTTCCCATCAACACCATTGCCAACATCATTACCACCATCATCAGCAAGTGCAGCAGCACTAGCCGCATCTTGAGTAATAACGAGGAAAAGGTGGCATTTTGCCTTTGGCCAAATCACCCAGAATGCGTCAAATCTCGTAAGCTAAGCAGAGGTTTCAGCCTGTAGAGGACTTAGATGGAGCGGCCGCTGTGCATGATGTGTGCTGCAGGCTGTGGTGCGGAGCGCTGGGCAGCTAAAACGCAGCGAGTTGGCACAGTAGGGGGGCACAGGCGGTGCATCCTGCCAGTCATCTCAGTCAGTCTGACCCGTGAGCTCCTGTCAGCGTGCCTTTGACACTTCAATTGGCCTCAAAGTGCACATGGCCTGGCACCGGCGTCGTGGCGAGTGATTGCCGCCACGGAACTAAGTAACGTGAACGAGCGTAAGGAGAGTGAGATCGTTTAATACGTGTCAACATTTCACACGGGAAAGACAGATGAAAGTAATAATGTTGTACTGTATTTGCTTTGAGACAAAATGAAAAAAGTTTAAGACAATGAATTAATGTCTATGGGAAGAAAATGAAATGCCTATGGGGAAATGGTTAAAGCTTAAGGAACTCGTGCCTCGGGGCTTGGCTATAACTCTTCATGAAATATTTTTTTTTTATCAATGTATATTGAATAGAAGAAGGTAGGGTAAATACCATTGGAAAGATGCAGCCCTGAAAGTGCTTTCTCTGGCCACTGCTGATTACCACGGTTGGCTACATATGGTGCGAAAGAAGTTCAACATACACACGTACAACATCCGGCAAGGAGCAAGCTCACGACCGGTACCATCCCAAAGGTGTTTTGGCCTACTTGCCCACGCAGGCCAGACGTCTTGGCAGACGTGACGGCACTCACACTCCACCTCACCTCACTGCTACCTGCCGATCGACAAACTGCGGCGAGCTCATTTATGCTGCTGGGTGGACAAAGGCGTGGGAGGTCGAACCGGCGACCTCTGCATGAGGGTCGGCGGATCGCACAAATGTTGCAAAGTCCAGAGCGCTGACCGCAACACCGCAGCGGCAGCGTCCTCTCATTTGATGTGCAATGTGTTTCATCGCCTGTCTTGTTGTATTACCCCCAAATAATCGAGGGTCGACGATATCATAATCCACCGTGCTATTACGTACATCATTGCTATTTTAACATCGGGATTTCGCAGCCAAAGTTAAGGACAATTCGTGGAAGATTTACGGGTGAGGGCCACGTAAACAATCTCGCCAAAATCTGTGTTTGCATAAGACCATCCCGCCCCCTCACCTCTTCACGCGGCCGAACAGTAAAAAAAAAATTCGCCACGCGTGCAAAGCGTTTAACAAGCGCCAATTATTATTGTTGTTGTGAGGTCGCTGGGTAAGCTCAGTGTAGAAATTTACGGCACACACGCGACCTTTTGCTCAAAACTGCGCCAACCATCTTCAGGACAAGATCCAGGAGGTCAGAATAAAGTTAACTATTTAACAATGAATTTTGATCTAAAGCTTTCGTGACTGCAGGGATTCATATTCTTGGTTCTTTCGGTAAAGTCACGCAGGAGGGAAACAACAAAATAACAAAAATACAAAACAACGAAATTCTCACGACGTTTCGACTGCAACACAAGCAATCACCATCAGGCGTGAAAACCACAGCAAGAAAACCTGAAAACCCTTTGTTGAAAACCACAACAAGAAAACCTCGTCGTGAGAATTGTTATTTTGTATTTTAGTTATTTTGTTGTTTCCGTTCTGCGTGACTTTACCGAAAGAACCAAGAATATGTAACAATGTTTTTTTTTTTTATTTTAACCAAGTAAGGCCCGCTGAGCTATGTAGCTCTTTTTCAGAAGCGACCTGGCTATCACAAATTATAGCCTAATAAAGTGGCCTATTCTGTGGAAATTGATGGCATCCAAACGCGTGTTTCTAAATGTGGAGGGAAAACCCTGAAGTCTTGGAGAAAAAGCCACGGGATCGAACCCACGACTTCCTGCATACCAGGCGAGGTAGTTAACATCTCCCCACCGCGGCACCCACGGCTCCGCTCACCGAGGGCCACCAGGTGTTGGGTTTGTCACGCCCGCAGTCCACGCTGTACTCCATGCAGCACGAGTCCGGCACGCGCTTGTCTCCAAACGCCAAGAACCAGTCGGTGTGGTTCACGACCCCACAGCAGTGGAACTGCAGCCACGATTCGGCAATTCACACACACACACAGAGGTGGGGTCAATAGTTGGCAATTCACACACACAGAGGTGGGTTCAAGTGTCCCCAGATCACTCACAGCAGTGTGCTCAAGACGCTACGTGCAAGAGTGAGATCAACACGTGAAGTACATGACAACGGGGTCAGCACACACCAAGCACACGTCAAGGACACGCGATGCACACGTCAAGCGGACATGGAGGTGTGCGAGCGCGTCGCGCGGCCACGCACGTCGGTCTGCACGATGTTCCACGCGTTGGTGAGGCCCACGTTGCCCTCGCTGCCGTACAGGCGGAGGCCCTCCTTCAGGTCGTCCTTGGCGTGCCCGTCGATCTGCGAGCACGTGGGGGGGTGGGACGCAGGGAACGTCACGCGGCGGAAATCACAACGGCGGCGACAGCGGCGGCACCGTCGCACCGATACTCCGATCGCTACAAAGCTCTTGCAAGTCACCTCGCTCGATTCAGGAACAAGTGCGGGCGCTTATCTGTTCCGCTAAGCTATTGAAACGAGAAGCTATTTTTATTTTTACGAAGCTGCAATGAGCTATATGTGTAGCTCTTTTTCAGAAGCGACCTGGCCACAAACGATGGCTCAACGAAGTGGCTTATCGAGTGGAAATTTATAGCAGCAAAATAATCTTGAAATGCAAGTTTCTAATCGTAGAGGGAATAAAAAACGGAGGACACGGAGAAACATCCACACAACGACTGGGTGAGACGTGCGAAATCTAAATATACAGCAGCAGCAGGCGTCAGGGTTGGGATGGAACCCACAACCTCCTGTATACCAGGCGAGGAAGTTAACATCTCCAAGCCACCGTGGTGCTGTTCTTCGCTGGCCGCTGGACGTTTTGGGTCTCTCTGGGCACTGTGCTCAGCAGCTGTGTTGAGAAAAGAAATCCAATCCCCGATCGATTTTAAAAAAACCTGCGTTCAGATTATTTTGCTGCTATAAATGTCCACGCGATGGGCCACTTCGTTGAGCTATCGTTTGTGGCCAGGTCGCTTCTGAAAAAGAAGCTAACAGCTGAGTAGCCTTACCTGGTAAAATAAACATAGTTTATTTTTTTGTATATTTTTTTACGATTTCTTTACTTTTCCGATACTTTGCACTCCTATCGTGTTGTTGTGCTGGTTGTTGTTCTTGTTGTAACTCTATGACCTGCCCCTACTGGACGATCTGTGAAAATGAGCTTCATATCTCATCGGACTCCTCCAGTCTCAATACATATTCTGATCTTCAAGAACCTCCATGGACTTTCCGCTGCCTACCTCTTCCGCACCCATCTCACGCAACTCCCCTCCAAGCAGCCTCCTATCCCCTCGCATCTCACTCGACCCTCGCCTCCCCCCATGCACTCTCCTACCTCTCTCCCCTCTCATCACGCTCTACTTCACTTCATGCACTCTCCTACCTCACCCCTCCCCTTTCACTTCCTCGCACAAAATCCACGACCTCGTCGCTCTCATTTTGTATCACACGGAACACAAGATAATCATTCTCCAAAACGACGCGGGTGATTGTTGTGTTATCTCCATATATATAAAAGGCAAAGTTGTGAATATGTGTGTCTGTTCAAAATGTTTCGCGTACTTCCCGACATGCAACAAACTTGAAATTTGCCATGTGGGTACTTTCCAGACTGTACACCATGCAAACATTATAAAAATACACTTTTGTTTTTTTAGGGGGGGAGCTCTTTAATGCATTTCTTTTTTGCACGGCAAGTGAGCTGTGACGTCAAATCATGCACGTGACCCGCGCATGTGGAAGCGTAACGCATTGTAGTGTAGTGGTTAGCGCGCTGTGTATGTGTCTGTGTGTGTGTCTGTCTGTGTCTGTGTGTGTGTGGAAGCGTAACGCATTGTAGTGTAGTTCGATTCCCGCTCACGGCCACCACCGGTGACGATTACTTGAACCGGTCCTGGGCCTCCCCTAGGTCGATTAAGCCTCAAACGAGTAACTGTTGTGATGTGAACATTGCCACTGGGGAGACAAAGGCGTCCGGGTGTGGTGAATCCAAGTCCCGGGCGAAGCCGTGTAGTATACAGCTAGTGTATTATATAATGCTGCGTCGCACTCGGACCGATATCTTAAATAGAGTGTCCTTGCCTGTAACATCTGGCCGTCCACTAGCGCTGCTTCCAGAAAACCTGACTCTGCTGATGAGACACTGAACGTCGAAAACCGGACCAGAGGTTTGCTTGTATGAAAATCAACGCTGCTCAATGTATACACTCCAAAAATACTTTGTGGTTGACAGGAAATGTAAAAAAAGGCTTACATTTTTTAATGCAGAGGTACAGATATATGGAGGACTTATATTGCCTGATTATTAATCTCTCTGGCTCCTCTATCAGCCTGTACGGGGACTCCTGAGCCAATGTCTTCCAGCAGTATTTGTTTACCAAGCCAGACAACGCTGCGTCTCTTATCTCTCGATGTATTTCTTCTGCGTCTTCCACCACCCCCCAAAAGTGTCCCCTTGCCGGAGACTCGCCGGCGTCTCGTAAGAGAAACAAAGCCGCTCATCGCGCCCAACCAACTTCACCGAGGATGATAACAGCGGGCGGCGCCACGTGAGTTTCACATCGCGAGACTGGAATAAACATTCCGTGCGGAAGGCGCGGGGGGGGGGATAAATCTATTGAATATGTCACGGTTACAGAGGCACTTAGTTAACTGGCGTAATTCACGAGTTTAATCACCCCGCACAATGCTCAACGCTTTACGAGGTTAATTATCTCCATGCGTTTGCTGCTGCCAAGTCCAGGCAAAAACACTCAAGTCCCGACTTTGATGCGTTGAACATTCCCCGAGCCGGCATTAGCAGGGGGGGGGGGTATGGGGGGGCGCAACCGATTCATCGCCTCAAATCAAATGTCTCACAAGAACGCGAGGCGATATGTGCCGGAGACACGCGTGCGCGCGACCTCATCACAAGGCGCTGTGCAGAAACTGCGCGCAGCAAATTGACTCGTGGCAGAGAAGTGCGGTCAGCAGCCACGGCTGGCGGAGCAGAAGAAGAGGCCCTGGAGCCAGGGCTTGGAGCCAGGGGCTGCCGGGGATACGTCGAGACGGCCTTTGCGCTGACGAGGATGTCCCGAACACCCAACGTACTTCATACAAATTGTTGTTGTTGTTGTTGCGCTTGTTATGCAGACACACGCGCGCACGCAGAAGCGAGTGATAAGACGAAGCAAAAACTTGACCTGGGCAGATCGAGCGCAAAGGCAGAACAAACAACCGTGGGCTGCACAAGGCGTCCAGAATGCCGGCGGCTCCGACCACAACAATCCATCTCCCAGCGTGCACCCAGCGGCCTTCGTGCTCTACCCCCCCCCACCTTACCCGCAACCACCCCCCACCACCACGACGGCCATGCCTCAGTTTATTTAAAACTAAGACGAGATTCCGTCCGCCTCCTTTGTGCAGCGATGATTAACGGGCAGCCTTGGTTCGACTTAACCCCGCGTTATCCACGAGCCTAATCCATCCTGCAGGCGAGCGGCTCGGCTCGACAGGTGCTGCTGCTACTGCCTCTGTCCCCATCGGACACCTATACAGACGGCAGCTGCCTGGAGCAACGGGAGGGGGGAGCGGGGGGGGGGGGGGTCGTGGCCGGGACTTAATAAGGCAAAGTCTCGACCGGCTTTTGACATTCGGTGTCTCATCGGCAGCGTCAGGCTTGCTCGCATCGACATCGCTGGTCAATTGCCCGATGTTTAGACGTGGGTCCGGTGGTAGGCTGAGCCGGTCAGAATGAGAAAGTTGCGAGTTCAACTCCTGGCTGAAGGGAATTACTTGGCCCATCATCAGTCCGGGGTCGTTTAAATTATCCTTACTCTGTGGGGAAGTCAACAGCGGCTGTCCCTGTGGATACACCCGCGTCCCGACGCCCCCCTCCCCGCCATATAAATGTGGAATTTCCACCACTTGGCTCAAGGCTGTGTCAACTGGAGATTAGCACGTGTCTCAATGTTCGAGGCGAGGAGAAACGGGGAGGGTAGCGTAGTGAGCCTGGGAGGCGGTGTAGCGGTGCAGTCCAGCGGCCGCGGAAGCGATTTCCTCCTAAAGTTGTTCCTTTGATTACTTTGCGAGCGAAGTGGCCGAGACAGGGCTGAGCATGGCGGGGGCGGGGGAGTTGGATAACGGCAGGGGAAGGTGGCGGAGGAAGAGTAATGGGCGGCGGTGGCTGGAGAGCGAAGCCAGTAGGGGCTTGGTGCGGGCAAAGCGAGCGCTGGGTGGAAAATTCAATCAGGTAAAGAGGGCCTTGGTTTGCCGGTAATGAGGAAGGAGCAGAAAATCCTCTTACCGGCGGGGGGCAGCGGGGGGGGGGGGGGGGGCAACCTCAACTTAAACAGCCGCCGCCTCTCACCTCCGCGACACAACTGGAGATTAAACGCGGCTCAGGAGGTTGCCGCTTTTGGCCGCCCCGCCGTGCCGGCCAGGCCGTCGGTTTCCGAATTAGAACTTAAAAGGGCCGCTGCAATTTTAATGATGTTGCGAGCCAGCTATCATAGCGGGGGCGGAACGACCGCGCCGGTCGTCGCAGGTTGCGTCCAGCTGCGCGGTTTTCTAATCTGGGGTCCACCTCTCGTCCTCCCAACCCAACTCCACCCACGCCTTTGTCTTCCTCCGGAACGTCTTTTCGCGTTTTTACCAATCGCAGGTTTTTTTTGTAACGCGCGTAACGTTTTGTGGGGGGGGGGGGGGGTGGGGCTGAAGGATAGCGGTGGTGACGTGGATTGTGCCGGGGGTGTGCTTGGAATCGGGAGGTGTTGAAGAGTCGTTGTGCCGTCGTGGAACGTCGGGGATTAAAGGAGGTCGGGGCCAAGTCGGTCGGTACGCACTAATGTATTGCGAGTTAGCTTCTTTCGCCACCGTACGTAGCCCACTGTGCTACTCGGAGGTGTAGTCGCCCCACCGATGTGAATGTCGCACAGGTGCGCTCGCGTACAGGCGCCAACGATCGCGGACCGAGTGGCGTTCGCGCAGGATATGCCGGCTGTGTAGAGATGCGTCTACTCGTCGATTAAAAATACAATAAACTATTTTTATTTTACCAGGTAAGGCACCACTGTGCTGTATAGCTATTTTTTTTAGAAACGACTTGATAGCTCAACGAAGTGGCATATCATCACGTGGAAATTCCTAGCAGCCAAATGCTCAAAACGAATGTTTCTAAATGTAGAGTGAAAAACGATAGGACCCAGAAAAAAATCCGTGCAACCACGGGGAGAGAGAGACACGCAAACTCCAAATGTACAAACGTCAGGGTCGGTATCGAACCCACGACCTCCTGGATACCAGGCGAGGTAGTTATCATCTCACCACCGTGGATTAATATTGATTCTCTCTCTCGATACAAGGCATGACGCGGTGCGTGATTATGGAAGATGTATGCGCGGATTCCACGCAAATGAGATGCCAGTGCAGCAGGTAGGCAAACTGAGCAAAGCTCTATGAACGAGACGAAAAATTCAACGGAGATGGTAAAAACTACAGATAAGTAAAACACGTGTCTAGTTGTGAAATGACCCAGAAGTGACATCTCAATTTCACCTGACATCCTTCATGAGTCGTAGACACTGATATAATCATAATAATACTGCACATGAATAATAATAATTATTATATCCATCAAGCACCTTTCATCAAGGACCTTAAAGTGCTGTACAAGACAGCAGCAGACACTCGGCATGACGGTAACTCGTGAGACAAAAACACGAAAATAATATTGCGCAATACTCAAATAAACAAACTCTCAATATCACTGTATATTAAAATGCATACGCAAAGACTGGGCATATTTATTTGAGAAGCAGTCAGTCATGACCAAAAGATTGTGAAGGTCTTGAGACTAGACTTTTCAACAAGGACAGGGAGTCAACGGCACGAACGACTGGGGAAACGAATCCCAGACTGTGGGGGCAGCAGAGGAGAATGAGGCGACCTCTCGCTGAGCCGATGTTGACTGGGGGCTTTGTGAGAAAGGCCTGGTTTACCGGAGCGGAGAAGGTGTGGAGGGGAGCTTAGTGAGTGGAGATGAGAGGGGAGAGGTAGGAGAGTGCGTGGAGGGGAGTGGAGTGAGATGAGAGGGGAGAGGTAAGAGAGTGCGTGGAGGGGAGTGGAGTGAGATGAGAGGGGAGAGTGAGTGGAGGGGAGTAGAGTGAGATGAGAGGGGAGAGGTAGGAGAGTGCGTGGAGGGGAGTGGAGCGAGATGAGAGGGGAGAGGTAAGAGAGTGCGTGGAGGGGAGTGGAGTGAGATGAGAGGGGAAAGTGAGTGGAGGGGAGTAGAGTGAGATGAGAGGGGAGAGGGAGGAGAGTGAGTGGAGGGGAGTGGAGCCAGATGAGAGGGGAGAGGTAGGAGAGTGCGTGGAGGGGAGTAGAGTGAGATGAGAGGGATCGGCAGGGGTGGGTCTATGGAGGATCTTGAAGGCGGTAAGCACGATCTTGACATGGAGCCGGAATTTGATTGCGAGCCGGTGAAAGGAATCGGCGTATTGGAGGTGACGAGGCCTCTACTGCAATACAATGTGCAGGGGCAATGCGACACTGGTGAGCTGCTTCCACCTCAGGTGGGTCCTCGAGAGGACCTGAAATCCTTGACTTAGCGCCGTTAACCCCCTGAGGCTCCCCAGTGTAACGAGTCGTGGGCATCGCCTCACCTGGTCTCTGTACATGAAGAATAGGATGACGCAAATCATCTCCAGGACGAAGATGATGAGCAGGCAGACGAAGAACTGCAAGAGAGCACAGGGTCGATCACATTTATTCAGCGGGTAAACATGAATTCGTGGATTTTAACCCGTTGTAGGTGTTCGCGACCAATATTATACATGAGGTTTTTGGGTTAGATCGTGTAAATATAAATGTGTCGTTAAACCCGCCACCACACGACCCAGCCAATTAGTAAGGTTTATCACGTAATATTGGAATGTTTTAATTGGCATGTTTTGTTTACGTGACAAACCTTACTAATTGGCTGTGTCGGGTGGTGGCGGGTTTATATTTATGCGATCTAACTTTTAAAAAAACCTCCGTTATGGATTCATTAATGGAGTTGGCCAAACATCTCAAAATGGGAACACAGAACTTGGGCAATTATTAGCGCTGGTTGCCTGTGGTTTCTCGCACCTCACTCTCTTTCTCTCTCACCTCACTCACTCACTCACCCTAAAAGAGCGAACTGAAACGCTTTAGTGCAAAAACAAACGGTTAAACGCTGCGAGCTCGGCACAGAAGCGTCACACGGTGGGGCCCCGTGCCGCGCACGTTGCCGCTGGAGCTTACGCTGAGCAGCAGGCACTTGTGTTCCTTGATGGCCCCCAGGCAGCCGATGAAGCCGACGACCATCATGATGGTGCCCGTCGAGATGAGGATGTTGGCGGCAGAGAACGAGGGGAACGACGGCGAGAGTGTCGCAAAGTTCCCCTGCGTCACGGACAGCCAGATCCCTATGCCCAGGATCCCGCAGCCTCCCAGCTGCACGCGCAATGACAAGGAGGGGAGGGGGGCGGTGCGGGGGGGGGGGACCACAGAGGAGGATCCACGTTACGGCCTTCGCCATCCCACACAATGGCAAGGGCCCACGCGAGCACGGTTTTTTGATGCAGGCGGACTAAAGATGATGAAGCCCTGCGCCTCCACTTTGCAAACGCCGGTCTCTGTGTACACCGGCGGTGAGAAGTGTGACGATACACACGCGCGCGCAGGTGAGTACAAAAAGAAAGACGAAGATCCCCCGTATAGCCTTTACCAGACTGTTGGGACAAGGCCGGCATGGCACACGAGGGGGTGGGTGGTCAGCACCACGCCCGGCCGCCTTTGTCTCCCGAGTGGCGATGTTTACACACCCCACCCGGTACTCATTTGAGGCTGAGTCGACCTACGGGAGGCCCATGACCAGTTCAGTGTTGAACGTGAACAGGAATCGAACTCGGGTCACCGGATAGCGCAGCGTAGCGCTAACCGCTGCACGACCGCTCACTCACACACGTTCACAAACACACACAGGTGCGTGCGTGCGCACTCAATCACGTACTCCTCGCTCACGCGCAGAGACGAAGACCATCCGGATTGCCTTTAACAGACTGTAGCGCCGTGCCTGGCCGTCTTTGTTTCCCCAGTGCTCATGTGCACACATCGCACCATGTACTGCGCTCTCCCTTGGTTGCCAACTGATGTAATGGGGGGGGGGGGAGGCCCTCACTCACCCAGCAGTGGAGAGACCAAAGGGCCGTAGGAGTATAGGCGCATTACAGAACTCCAGGTGCAGGTTTTGGGCGGTGGTGAAATGGCCCTCGTTGAGAGTGGGAGGAGGGATTGATTGATTGCCTGATGAGCTGGAGATATATTCTTCACCGAGCGGTGTCTTCAGAAGACTGGGAAATTAAAATTAAAGTTGACGTCTAAAAAGTTTTTCACGCTTTGTCAAATCTCCAAGAGTGTTCAAGACGTCGTGTTTGCAAAGTTCAATTTACAGTCGAAAGTCAGTCATGATCATCATCATCATCACCTCCCACCACCACCAAGTCTTGATTTAAACCATGTGAGAGAGACCATTAACATCCAGGGTTAGACCTGGGTCATCAATCAATACAATACACGCACGTAAACACACAGGCAACCAATTCACAACAGATGACTATACTCAACAATAAACACGGTTAACGGAACACACTTGTAATTACGCTAAAAAATGATGCGATTTTCCAGCGAAGCTACATCTCAGCCGTGGCATTTTAGATGTGGATTGTAAATCAAACTGAAATATAATCCGAAAGAGCCGGAATAAGCCAAATTAAGTAAAAAACAAACTAATATAATGGGTTTTTTTCATGTGTGTGAAATCATAAGTGATTAAATTTAGAACATCAACTCACTCCACCTAAGAATCCGGTTCAATCATAGTTGGCTGAAACCCACATTCACAACCGAGCATCTCAAAGGTGCATTCTAAGTGTCAGAAGGTGGAAGCCAGTTCAAAGTTCGCGGTCTTACACAAATGCCGCCGGTTAACTGAAGTCTGGAAGGCCAATACAGCGAAAGATTAGAAACACGTTTTTAGTATCACGTGGGGATACAGAACAGAGGTCTCTTTCATTATTAAAACACTGCAGATTGCCATTTTGCTTCAGATATAATTTTTTTATAAAAAAAATATATTCGCCTTCTGTTGTTTCCCCCACCACCCCTACGAGTTTAATAATTATGATTTCGACAACATTTTTAATCTATGCACATTATATAGCCGCACGGTCCCATCAGGAGTCATGCAAAGCAACACAACAGCTGCTAAAAGACGTCGAGATGAATGTGCTCCTATTCATTTCAGCAGATACCCCAAATGCCGTGTTTCCCACTGAGCATGCAAACTACTGAATATTTTCTCGGAAGCTGTTAGAATGGAGTAGGTATGTGACAAGTAGTCATAGCCATGGCGAGAAAGAGACAAGTACAGGTTGGTGGGGGATGTAGAGCCGGGACAGGTTCAGAAAATAGTCGCCACTGGGGTTAGCCGTGGTCTTGATTCCAGCTGGTGTTGCGATATCGCAATTGCACCTCCTTTCCCCTTGTTATTTATTGCATCATGAATGCATTAATTCGTGAAAAGAAATTAAAGATATCTTAACACACAGCTTGGTATTCAGTGGTATAGTTTTTTGTTATTGCAGGTATAACGTTTGTAGGTAGAGCAGTGGCGTATTGGTTAAAGTGTATTTCGCGATGAATCCGGTGACCTGACTTTGACTCTTTGACGCAGCTAACACCAGTGGCGAGTGATACCCCAACTGGTCCTGACCCCCGCCCTTTCACTAACTCACACCAACCAGTGCGGTGAAGCACGGCCAAAAAAACCACCACGGCCAACACCGCGGCGGGGAAGCCATCATCTGTGGAAGCGGATTCAACTTTCAAGTTGATTTTGTTCAACCAGGTGGTGGGAACTCAAGGAGCCCGGTCGAGTCTCATTTATAACAGTGACCTGGTTCACACCAAAATGACAAGAGCAGTAAACATAAAAAACCTCGAATACAACAATGAAGCTAAATCGACAAAGGGCTGCAAAACAAAAGCCACCTTGCTCGAATAAACATAAAATTAATTCCGAGCAAAAAAAGCCAAAAAATTCAAACAAGAGTTCAAAAGAGGGCCCCTGCCTTTAGGCGCGTTTAGGCCAATTTCTTTTTAACGAGCAGTTTTGCATAACTGTCCCGGCGCCAGAGGTGTAGCCCAGACGGACGACACGAGAGTCGGGCAGCGGCGCGGCTATAAAAAGCCGGGCTTTTAAGAGCAACGGAGCTGTATCCAGTGTCCCTCCGCGTTCACGACGCGCCAGGTGCCCGCCCTGTCATCGTCAAAAGCGAGCGGCGGCAGCGGGCTCGCTTGCGATCGTAATCCCCGCAAGCATCTTCCGATTTGCCACGACGAGCCACGTCGGGCCGGGCGATGGCAAACAAATTTAATCGACGCCCGCCGAGGCCCCGCGTATATTTTGTTGTTGTTGCTGCTGCTGCTGCAACGGCGCGTCTGGCCCCGGGGTTTCCGAACGCGCGTGTCATTATCTCACGCGCGCGCGTGCGCGAGAGAGCGAGATAATTATTTTGAAACTCCACTCTCGCGACTCTACCGGCGGAGTCACCCGTGATGACGGCGACTGTGCCGTCGTGGCCGCCACCGTGTGGGATTGTGCGAATCCTTGGCAACCACCGAACGTGTCGTCTTCGTGCGTGATTATGCGTGCGTGGGCGTGTGTGCGTGCAAGGGGAGCCGCCTCGCAGTGGTTAGCGTGCAGCGCGGTGAACCCGGCGACCCGAGTTTGATTCCCTCGCGCGGCCAACACCGGTGATTATTATCTGAACCGGTTCTGGGCCTCCCCTAGCTCGACTCAGCCTCAAATGAGCAATGTACCTGGTGTGGTGTGTAAACATCGTCACTCGGGAGACAAAGGCGGTCGGGCGGGGTGTGGCCACGCACCCCCTCGTGTACCGTGCCGGCCTTCATAGGTGCTCGCTAACGGCACTTGCTCCAAAAGTCTGTTTGCGCACTGTGCAAGTCGCGTTGATAGTTTTTTGTGCAATTTGTAAAAAAAAAACATGTTTCAATTGTCTGTTGCTGGGGCAGATGGTCGTATGTTGGCGCACTGTTGCGGCGGAAAAATCAAATATAAAAAAAATCAGAAATAACTTCCCGATGGAAATGGAGAGAGACAGAAAAATCAATCGGAAAAACTTCAGAGTCGAAATGTGTCGCCATGCTCATCGAGATTTCACCTCGGACGATTTTCAACTACCAGCCCTGAGCCAGAAATGGAAATTCCACATTCCTGCGGTGGCGGCAAGTCTGTCTTTAAGACACTCCTGTTGAAACATTGTCACCATTGACAACCGCTGAAAACTTCTTCTGCCGCCGCTGATGCTGCTGCTGCTGATGAGTAATGTTTGTTGGGTTTTTCTTCGGCGGCGATTGTGAGTTTATGAACTCCACGGTGTAGATTTACGGGAGGGGGAGAGTTAAGCTCTGTTTATGAGCATATTGTACAAGCGCAGAGCCACACAAACAAATAAAATCCCACCTGTACGCTTTTTTGCACATTTTAATATAAAATAACGCGGGAAGAAGCAACTTCATTTGAGAGTACAGCGCTCCCGATCCAGCATTTGCCAAGTTTGATTCCTGGCCAAGGCTGACGTCAGTGGCGAGCGATATCTGAAGCGGTCGTGGTCAAGCCGCCCTGTTTCACCGACCCACACTGACCGAGCACGATGAAGTACGGTCAAACAAACCCCCTCCACCCCCAAACCTTCCTTCGCCACAACTTACAAAGGTCTGTTAATTCTACAATTGATTGCTCACAGATAATATTAACCGCAGCCACGGGAAGCTGGCTGAGCTCCCATATTGCTGATAAAGATTCCCCCGTGTAGCCTTAACAGACTTTTGGGGACAGTGCTGGTGAGTGAGCAGCACTTATGAAGGCCGGCACGGCACACGAGTGGGTGGCCAGCACCACGCCCGACTGCCCTTTGTCTCCCCGGTTTGCGATGTTTACTACACACCGCTACACCAGGTACTCATTTGATGCTGAGTCGACCTAGGAGAGGCCCAGGACTGGTTCAGATAATCGTCACCGGTGTTGGTGGCCGTGAGCGGGAATCGAACTCGGGGGTCGCCGGGTTCGCAGCGCAGCGTAGCGCTAACCGCTACACCACGCGCGTGTTGTCCCGAGACAACAACACGCGCGCACACACAAGCACTCACACACACACAAAGGACCACACATAAATCCTTTAAGGGGCTGTTGGGGAAAGTGCTATTAGCGATGGCCTATTAAGGCCAACACGGCGCACGAGGGCGTGGTGTGGTCAGCTCAGCACCTGGCCGCCTTTGTCTCCCCGGCGCTGACGTTTTTACGCACACGCACACTCACACGTGCACGCGCACACTCACGCGAGGGGGTCGAGTGAGCGAGTGCGCCGTGA